AGAGAGAGAGAGAGAGAAAGAGAGAGAGAGAGAGAGAGAGTTTAAGGTTGCTTACGGTATTGGATTGAGTGGGCCTCTTTATGAGAATCTCTTTGTCTGTTGAATATAATAGTGAACATATTCAAAGACAAATTTGTTAATTTGTGGGTTGTCACTTTCACCATATAAGACAAGAGAAAGTGTAGGGGTTGCATTTTCAAGTGCATTGATATTGTCAATTAGCTGTGTTCTTTGAGTTTCAAATAGTAAACATTTAAAAAAGTAGTGATATGTAGTTTCGATTTCACCACATGTGCAAAGGGGACTATTTGTGATGTTTTTTGAGAATAGGTGCTCGTTTAATGAACTGCAGTGATTTCTAAGGCGTGTGTGGTGGATTTGTAATTTTTCTATCTCCATAGTAAAAATGAACTGGAACCTTCCTTATATCCTTGTGAAGTTTGGATTTAAAATTGTTAAGAGTCGGTGCATTTCGCTCTTCAAGAGATAAAAGGTTCCAATCAGTAACTGTTTGAGGAACAAATGAAGAAGAAAATAGGCGAGTATTACATTGAAAGTTTCTTAGGTTGTCTGCATTTCTTAGGTTGTAGGCTGTGGTACTTCCGACATGGTTTGGAACTAATGTTGTAAGAAAAGAGGGTGATAGGTTATTTGACATTTTATAGAAAAGAGTTAATCTGTGCTTCTTTCGTCGTTCCTTAAGAGGTTGGAAGCAGGTTTCTTCATACAGATTTTGGATAGACACAAGTTTAGTACAACCAGAGATAATACGAAGAGCTTCAAGTTGGATTTTTTCGAGTTCTTGTTCGTCGTGATGAGACTAATTGTCCCAGACAACATCCGAATATTCAAGTAAGGGTCTTATAAAGGCAGTGTAAATGATCTCCAAGGATTTTCGATCAAGCACAAATTTGAGACCTCTCATGATACTTATTCTCTGCCAAGATTTAGTTTTTATATTTTCCACATGCTCATGCCAAGATCCGTCACTTGAAAAGGTTACACCCAAATGCTTATGACATTTTACTTCTTGGATTGGGACATTGTTCATTATATAGTGGTGGATGAAACGGTTTGTTTACCTTACGAGAAATAAGAAGAAGAGACTCAGTTTTTGCTGGGTTGAAATCGACAAGCCAGTCATTAGCCATTTCGAAACTTTACAGAGGTCAGAATTTAAGATATTAGCAGATGCGTGTGGCTCATCGACAATAATGTAGAGACTAGTATCATCAGCAAAGAGTCGAATGGTTGAATTTATATCCTCAACAATGTCATTAATATATACAAGAAACAGCAGAGGACCAAGAATAGAACCCTGTGGAACACCGGAACATATTGGTAGGACTTCGGAATACGTACCGGAAAGTACAACACGCTGAGAGCGTCCAGAAAGATAATCCTGAAACCAGTTAAGAAGAACACCAGATAAGCCATTTACTTTAAGTTTATGAATGAGACCACGGTGCCAGACGCGGTCAAATGCTTTGGAAATATCGCAAAAGATAGCACGGACTTCTTTTCCTTCGTCTTGAGCTTGGCAAAATGTGTGATAGATAGAAACTAGTTGATTGGTTGTTGAATCGTTCTTTATAAATCCAGATTGCAAAGGTGTTATGCAGTTATTAGATATGAAGAAATTAAAGACGTGTTTGTGAATAATACGTTCTAGCACTTTGCTGATTGTACTTTGTAAAGAGATCGGCCTTTAATTAGAGGCAATAGTGGGATCGTTCTTCTTAAAAATAGCACAGACATTTGCCAGTTTCCATTGAGATGGGACCTTACCAGTTTCTATTGATTTATTAAAAAGAGAAAGTGGATGTGCCAATTCTTGAGATAGTTCTTTAAGTATTCTGTTGTTGATCATGTCGGGACCTGCTGCCTTTCCTAATGTTAATGACTTTAATGTATCTATTACTTCCTGCTGTGTGATAACTATTTTTTCTAACTGTGGTTTATTTGAATGTAAAATGCATGTTGGGAATTATTTTATTGGAATCATTTAGTAATGTCTGTGAATGAAAGAATTTATTAAGAAGGTTGGCTTTATCATATTCGGAAGTTAAAATGTTTCCATTATCCTCTAATATTTGTATACCCTTATTTCTTGTCGAAGTTGATATATGTTGTTTTAGAATTTTCAAGAAATCTGAAGGTGATAAATTTTCATTTTTAAGTTTGTCTGCAAGTTTCTGTGTTTGTTGCTGCTTTGCTTGTCTGAGTAACGTGGTTGTTTTATTTCTGATCTGTCTGTAAAGTTGCCAGTGATGTGGAGTTTGTGTTTTTTGTGCTTTATCATATGCGCGTTTACGTTTTCTGATTTGTTTCCTTAATTCATTATGCATCCATGGTGGTGATGATTGGCGTATTGTGACTATTTTGTTAGGTATATATTTAGCTGCAATGAGATTGATTGTGTCTGTTAATTGCTGTGTATAGATGTCTATGTCATCATTATGAATTGTATCCCATTGGAAAGAAGAAATCTCCCTTCTCAAACCTACATAATCACCTTTATCATATAGCCATACTTTTCTTTTGAAATTTTGCGAAGATGGTTTGGAGGAGTCAAGAATACAGAAAATAGGGCAGTGATATCTACAGACTTGATCAAGAAAGGGGTCAGCGACGCCAGATACAGAAACTCTGCAATTCATCGAGACTAAAAATAGATCTATAAGGGAGTTTTGAAGAAACAGTATAATGTGTTGGTTGTTGTATAAACTTGAGTCAAATTGTATTGTGTTGCAATGCTATTGATTTTGCTGCCGATGTATGTTTTTTGCATGTCTAAGTTGAAATCTCCAGTTATAACTATATCAGATATAGTTGTGTCAAAAGCGAGACCGATTGACATTTCTATCTGAGAGAGCACAGAAGGGAAGAATTCGGAGGACGATAGAAAGTACCAAAAAGAAGTTTCTTATTTTTAAGAAAAATCTCCAACCAAATACATTCCACACCTTGAATCTCTAGGTCGTATCTTCGAATTGCAGGGATAGTGTTTTTAACATAAACCAAAATACCTCCATGATTGTCCGTACCTCTGTCATTTCGGAAAGGGGGAGAATAATTATGAAAATATAAGCAATCTGTATCAACAGCGGCGGACAGCCAGGTTTCTGTTATTGAGATAATATCAAACGGATCAAGTTCACCTTCCACGATATCTTTTTTCTTTAGAAAACTTTGCACATTATAGTGCACACATGATAATGAGTGAGAAAAGTCGGAAAGGGAAAGGAATGAGGAATTTGACATATATGATATAAATAAAAAGGTTATTGTTTCGTTTCTCATGTTAAATGCCACATATTTTCATTCGCCGTCCCGGCTTGTGAAAATATGTGGCATTTTATCATGTTTCGTGAAAATATATTCCATATTTCACTCAAACGAGAAAAATATCCTCCTAATATCAGTCAAATATATTTCATATTTTTTTAAAAATAACTATGAAATATAAATATGAAAGTGGGCAGAGTCAAACCTCATATTTATTTTAAGGGACTTCTTTCGCCATTTCGTTTGAAAAATCTGATAAGTACAAATCAACTTTTTGTTGAATTTCGTTTTGACTACTATCTAGAAGGATAGAAAATGGTCTAACTAAGAAAATAAATCCGAACACTAATATCTTTAATTCACGTTGTTTACGTGACGTCACATTGTAGCGCCAAAAATCACGTGCAAAACAAGACGCATCTATATTACTGCGCGCTGTATTAACATGTTTTGTGTATACACAGTATGCATACATAGTGTAGTTAAAAACAACTGGCCGTTTTTTTTTAAGAAATGACCAATTTTTTTTCTATTAATTATTGGAAATGCAATTTCCAATACACAGTTTGTGCATTCTTTTATTCAAATTAGACATCATTAGTAAGAATTTCATGTACTAAGATTAATTTCTGCAATAAAAATATTTTACTTAAAGATGAGATAAGTATATCTTTAAAATATGCGGTCATAATGGTAGTATGGTGGTAAAACAGTATATTCAGTCAAAATGTACAGAAAACATACAAATCGTTACATGGGTTGTTAATAAGTATGCATTTCTTATAACCTACCATGTTTTTCTAACTTTAAAAAAAATATACGTATGTACACACATGTTGTACACTTATCTTGAGGCGTGAAACTTTTTAAAACCAATTTCAATTCTATTTTGACTTCCTCTATATGACAGACATTACTTCTAACTGGTCATAAGTCTCGTTGATCTTTGATTAGTTTACTTTTTTTCTTCTAATTTTATGATGCAAGCTATTGTTGATTAATAGAATCTATCATTGGGCTAGATAGAGGATAGGGAAATCCCAACCCGAGGGTGATCAGTTCCATCGGGAACGAGCCTTGGCGAGTTCCCGATGGAACCGATTGCCCGAGGGTTGGGATTTCCCTATCCTCTATCTAGCACAATGATTGATTATTTTTCTCACTAACCTGGTCTAAAAATATAAGAAAAAACAATTTTAAGTGGTAACTACTTTTTTATGCGCAATCACATTATTGGCCGTTTTACAGCCTCGTTCTCAATACACAAAAATTCAACACGAAGAGTGCATGCAACTGTGCGTGAAAATGGGTAAATACACCATTCAGATGGATTTAATCTGCGATAAATTAATCACAAAACAATAAAATGATTGCTGAAACATGAAAATCTACAATGAAAAGTATGTGTCATGGATTTGTTCTATGGAAAATGCGATGAAATGTGATAAATTCGAAAGTGCTATTTTTAGTAACTTATTAAAAGTGAAAAAAAATGGTAACTATTCAATTTAAATAACAAGAAATAACACGGTGAACAATTAATGATTACACACAAAAAGATGAAATAAATGGAGAGAGTTCGTTAATGTGGTTATTAGATGAATAATGCGATGAACGGATGAAATGAAGTCAAATTTTAAAAAAAAAACTATTTTTAGTAACACGTGGTGACTGTCAACAACATGCAACAGTTGATTAATATTTTGTTAGTTTTATTCAAGACGTTGGCGTTTGGGTTGTTCTATGTGAAGATTAATATTGAATGTTCCACCGTATATGTTTGAGTGACTGAATACAGAACGCATGGCCAAGTTTGTATCAATATTCATGGAGCTTTCAACTTCAAGGGACTGACTACATGTTTGAGAAATCTGTTGTACATGAGTAATTTCATTGGGTCTAGTGATGTTCTCCTTGTCTGGCCGAGTGGTAGATAGAATCCTAGACATAGAATGCTGTTGCCTGTTGGAAAGAGTCCTGTAATTGTTTAGAGATTGTGGATTTTTGTGTCCAGTGACATGTACAGCATGGGTATCTGGCACATTGCTGTCCAGAAGTTTCTGACGCAAGTGTTTTCTGACACTTGTGTTTGAGAGGGGCTTGAATTGGAGATCAGGTAGGTTTGCTTTCTCTGCCATACTTTTAAGCAGTCGGTTTAATTTGTTAACTCCTATTGGTTGTGAAAGAAACCATCTTTCATTGTATGTAGGATTGTCATTATTTGTCACTATAGATAGATAAAAAGGACTTTCATTGCTCTTCATAGTTGAAGGTCTTTTTTCAGCATATTTTTTGTAGACTTCAATTGGGCAGCGGCCTACAATATTTGTAGCATACATTCTCGGATGTGTCTTTCGAATACTGTGAATGTCTTCACCAGTGCGAGTTTTCGTCTGTCTTTCATTAAATTGTAAATACTCCTTGCCTGTAAATTCCATAAAAGATTTTGTTAACATATATAGTAATTAGTGTTTTGTTATATGATTAGCTACATGCTAATGCAAATCTTCATTGTATCCAATATAAAATATAATAGTAATTGTTATCATTTTTATTCAATTACATGATATTTTTCTCTTTAAAAGAGTGATTAAAATATCAGGATGCTAATATTAAATAAAATGCTGTTACTGGCAATGGCTTAATCTATGATTAACCTGTCTTCCAAGTAAATAATGTTTTGTTTTAAATTATTTAATAACACCTGGTAATAAATTTAAACTGTAATTTATACATATACATGTATGTTGGTTAATAGCTAGGTACATAGCGAATATTTTCTATTCTATTATGAATATGATATATATAAAAATATTCCTGCTTATAGCGATATAATATGTATATATAACATTCCAATAATAAACAGGGCTGGGAATCAAAACTGCGTCGTATCCTACAAAATGTAAACAAACGCCGCCATCTTGGAACGAAAAACGTATGTTTTTGTTTATAACTTTTTTTGTTGGAAATGACTGAAAACCAGATGTATGTATTAACACGTTACACTATTTTCCGCTTCGTTCGGTATATGTTGCTTGCACAACTATTTTGTAAAACAAAAGTTATAGCGAACTTGCATCTCGAAGCGGGGCAGAATTTTTATGAAAATGTGTGGATACGACGCAGTTCATATTGCTTTATCTATCGTTTTTTCCTTTAAATCAATTATATATTTGTTTCAGAGTTCACCATAAACTTCGAAATATAATTTTGCATCATTTACTAAAATTTCATTAAAAAGAGATGTTTATTTTCTTAGAAAATAATGATTTTTACGAAATGATACGACGCAGTTGAAAATAAAATATGATACGACGCAGTTGTATTTTTGGCAGTTTTTTCAACAGAGATAATTTTGGCAAAATATTTCTATTTTATGGAATAATCACTTGCGCTAGATAAAAAAAACAGATCATTTGCAGTGTATAGCAATGTTCTGTTGCTTTTGATTATTTAGAATACATTGTGTCATGTCCAATATAACATTTAATTTGAAAGTTTACATTGCGGAAGCTACTTTTCAGTTAAACATGTTACCTAATTGATCATAATATCTGAAATATTTTTTTATATTTTCCTGTAGGTTCAATATCATCCCTAATTCTTTTCGCAAAAAAATATAGAAATCTATTAACTTGAATTCGTGTTGGCTAGCTACGCTCTAAGTTAACTGTGGTTCTGCATGTTCTGGGTAATGACTGCTTTTTTGTGGTTTGTTTTCAAACTTTCACTCTACACATTAGCTTTATTAGGGGCGAGGACCTCAGGTGCGCCTTTGTGCATTATTTCAGGCAAAATGTTGCACCTGCAGAGAACCATCGACATTTTGAAACTAGCTTCATAGGTTTTCCACACGAAAGAATAAAAAGTCCCTGGTGGTTTTTGAATTCATAGCAGTTCAGGTCAAGTTATTTGAATTCAGTAAACATAAACAGCTCGGCCACGGTCGGACACACCTGTCTGATTTGTTTTTTCAACAAAATTTGTTAACGTCAGCTGTACAAATAAGCAGCTTTTTAATAACTTCTGGCGTGAAGTTATAAGATTATAAATATTTGAATTAATTATAAAGAGAATAACATTTAAATTTCTTATTTCGGTATGACTAGCAGAGAAATTTTCAATGTAAACAGGGGGTAATCCTCTGTGAAGTCATTTTCTGAAAACCTTTGTTAAAGTTTTCAGGCAATTCATTATCAAATAAAATCACATTTTAGTATGAAGGTATGTTAAGATGCCATGTAGAGCTCTAGTCTGTTGAAAATTCGATGCGATAATCTGACCTTAATTTTCTGTTCAATATTGTGAAAACTTCTTTAATACCGTTGAAAGATCATGTCTGCCTACATCTGTATTAAATTTATCGGTGCACAGCGTAAAATACCTTTGCAAAACGGACACCTTCTTTACAAAATAATCTGTAGTTGTATCATATGTAACTCGATTTTGAAAATTTAAAGTTTTTTAATGGAGAAGAATGATACTTAAGTGCAAATATAGAAAATACATTCCGTAGACCCTTCCTCATCGGCGATAAAGAAATGCAATACGACAAAATCAGAGGTAAAGTTCCGCGGCGCTGAACATAAAATGACTAAACGGAACGCATAACCTACTTCAACTTGCAAAAATAAATTGTAGCTTAACCATTTATAATATAATTTTAAAAATTTAATGTTTCAGTTTCAAATTATAAAGGTCATCTGTTCTCACCGATTATTAAGAAAATGAATACAATAAAATCGGCACGTAAAAAACATAAGTAATAACGGAATTGACGGAAATTATTGCTTATTACAAGTAACAAAGGTAGGCATGCAATTTGCGCATAGCTGTCTTCCGATAGCAAGAGACCTTTTCAAAATTTGTAATTCTTTCTCTCTTTTTTTTTTTAAAAAAAAGGTCATTCCTGATTAATACTAGTACAGGGTTCAGGAGAGGTTACACTGGAATATTGAATTTTGTATCAAAAAGAGTAATCACTCTATTTCGAACTCACAGGGAACAATTTTAGAAGCATGCTAAGGCAACACTGGAAACACGTTGTTATAAGGGTGTGCGATCACGTGTTTATTGCACAATGTATATTGCATTTGATACAGTTTTTCGGAATTTGTAGATGCTTAATATGATAGGTACTTAAATGCAGCCTTAATAGAATTGTATTACATTTCCCTTTTTATGGAACCAATGAGTGACCTCTGCTTTTGACTTAAGTTGTAAACAAAGAAATGTTGTTGGACGTTATTAGCATACCTAGCACATAATTTAAATAGTTTAAAACCAATATGCAGCCTGCAACGAAAATACAACTGCGTCGTATCATATTTTATTTTCAACTGCGTCGTATCATTTCGTAAAAATCATTATTTTTTCTTGGAAAATAAACATCTCTTTTAAATGGAAATTTAGTAAATGTGCAAAATTATGTTTCGAAGTTATAGTAAACTCTGAAAACAAATATTAATTGATTTGAAGGAGAAAAGATAGATAAAGCAGATATGACTGCGTCGTATCCACACAATTTCATAAAAATTTGCTCCGCTTCGAGTTTTGCAAGTTCGCTATAACTTTTGTTTTACAAAATAGTTGACTAAGCAACATATTACCGAACGAAGGGAAATAGTGTAGCGTGTTAAACATATATTCTGGTTTTCAGTCATTTCCAACAAAAAGAGTTATTTAAACAAAAACATACATTTTTCGTTCCAAGATGGCGGCGTTTGTTTACATTTTGTAGGATACGACGCAGTTTTGATTCCCAGCCCTGATAAATAAAATATTGACTTGACATACCAAGATCACTGTCAAAGCAAAGGGTAATATCACCCCAACATAGCTGTCTGTGTTCACTGCCACCACCTCTCATTCCAAAATGTAGAGTGTTGTTCAGCCATAGAGTGTTGATAAGTGCAGCTGGGGAAGAAGTACCCAACTGTCCTGAGGTGTACAGAAGTTCTATTTCGTCATCATTGATTGTGTCTGCTGCTTTTGGTTTATTGCCACGGCCTTGTTTTTTAAGTCTTTTTGTTTACACTTTAATACTTCACGAAGCTTTCCAAATTCATACCCATTAACTAAACTTATTCCGTACTTTTCAGATATTTTTCAAAACTGCTGATCAGACTACGTAGTGTGACTGGTTCATATTCATCCCCATTCTTTTGGCGTACACTGACAATGAACTGACAAAGATACAGATTGAGCTCATTAGCAGGGATTTCATGAATTTTGCGATTTTCATTTTTATCAACAAGGTATGATTCAATGAGTCTTTGATGTGATAATGTTTTTCTTCTTGTTTGTTTATTTTCATTCTCTTTAATATAGTCCTCAATTTCAACAGGAGGTGCAAACCTGTTACTTTGAAGTGTTTTGGAAATAATTGGCATTTTAGATCCTGTTTCTGTAGTAGAAGTTGTGCTTGGAATCTGGTTAAGTAAAGAAGTTTTATTTATTTTTTCAGGGGGAGGTGAAGAAATGTCAAACAAAAGGTTGTCCAGTTCAGAGCTGTCAAGAGTGTCTAGAATTGAAGATTCAAACAAGCCATCAATGCATGTAGATTCAGGCTGGATGGTTGCATTTGAATTGCCATTGTTTGGAATAATAAATTGACTGTACATGTCAGAATTCAACGTCATTAAATCATCAGAAAAACCTTTTACCAGTTCATGTTTTGCCAGTGTCAAAATTTGACCATCATTGAATAGTTGTACCTTATACATAGCATAGGTACCAAGTGGATGTATAATATCAACTATTTTGCCCTTTCCACCATTTAAACCGCAGTTTACTGTGTCACCAACACGAAAATTTATTTTTTCCATTTTATTTGTTTGGCGTTCTTTCTATCATGACAAGGGAAGTAACTCCTATTTGTTTACATTATTAAGTTATGATATATTACTCCCCTTGTGTTGGTGCGTAGGAATACGAAAAGAAGTTCTCACGTGGAGTGTGAGATCAGCCCATGTGAGATAAGATTTTCCAACACCGCTATTTTTAGTAACCTTTAGGGATTTTTCTATCTGGTTAGTGAGAAATATACTTCCTTTTTGCTCATAAGGAAAACACTTAAACATATATTTGTCGTTTTCTCTTTAATTTTGTTATAGTATGACAAGATCTTTTAATGGATTAACTGAAATTTAACCGAATGGATAATATTTGTGTGTTGCTAACTTTATTTCTTATTTTACCAACAATCGGTAACTATTATTTGCTGTTTTTTTTCTTCTTAAATACTATTCCTAGTCATTTCTTTTGCATTCGTTAGTGCCAAAAAGTCAAGATATGATAATACTTTCAACACTTATGTGTGTTTTTTATTCTTGTACCATTCATTAATGGAGTGATTTTTCATGAGATTTTGATGCAGCGGGCGGGGAGATTTGTAGTTACCAAAGGACTGGAACTTGTTAGGGTCCTAGGTATTAAATAGTTAATTATGTATCAAATTTCTGCCAGACGGAAGACTTATCTTCATTTTGGATTGTTATGGTGACTGATGTTTGCCATCTTAAAATTTAAGAGGGTTTTTTTTCTGGCGCTCCTCGGAGCGAAATTACAACATGGCACAAATCAGCCAGCATAGATTATAGGCTTTTTCTGCGTTTTGAAATTGAAATACTCTTTGAAATATTCTTTTAGTATGTTATTTATAAAGTGTTTTAAAAAGACAATGCATGGACATACGTATAATATTTAAAAATTACAGATAATATATGGAAAAAAAACATTGATAAAAAAATGTCGACTAAGTAAAGCACATAGTAGTGCCTTTAAAAGGAAAAGAACGAAGTCATTTAGAAAATACAGAGCTGTTCAATCATCTGTGAATGATGGATGCTTCAAATATCAATATTTATGCCTTCTGGAGGAAAGATTTTCGGATAGTCTTTGTCCTACTTTTTCTTGAAAGTTTTGATAGTTTTCCAAATATATATGCTTCCCTTTTGCTTCTTTTGGAAAATAGCAATGAAATCAAAAATCGATATCGGTCGCTTCGGTTATTGAATGGAACAATCTAATGGATAAGACAGCAAATTTCCTTAATTTGTTGCTAACGAATAACAAATAGTAAAACGGCATAACATTTAAAGAATGGCTTGATGATTCATGATTTTCTCATAACATTTGTGACTAGCACGTAAAAAGAATTACAGTCAACCAAGTTAACCCGGCCTCAAGTAAATCCGGCTCAAAAACTAGTCAACCAGGCCCCAAAATTGGTCAATCCGGGCCCACATTATTTTTATTTGGTCAATGCGGACCCAAAATCGGTTAACCCGGCCCCAAAATCAGTCAATCCGGCCATAATTGATTTTCAGAAAATATCTAATTACATTAAATTGTTATGTTTTAGACGATATTTTGCTTCTTTCATTTTCCCTTTTGTCTATAAATGATATATTTATTACACAAATTCAAAAAAGATTTTCCAAAAAATGTATAAATAATTTCATATTAAATTTTACAAATACCAAATGAGGATTATGAACTATATAATAAAGTTATTGAAAACATAATTAGGCTATAATTTGTCGGTAATTCAATTTCACCAGTAAAGGCTTTTATACATATTAGATAAAATGAATGATTATATTAACACCAATAATTATGTGTGAACGTATGCATTTATTCATACGTGATGAACAAATAAGTAGGAGCAATCAATAAACAAATAAATATTAATTGTGAGAAACCCTTGGTCTATTTCTTGTCTTTATTTGATGTAAATTCGAAAATATATTTTCCTAAATGTCTTTATTTGATGTAAATTCGAAAATATATTTTCCTAACTATGAAAATGCTTTAACTTATAATGTTTATTTTGGTAACGTTACTATACAAGTAAATAAAGAGAAAAATTTATATTTTTTTATAACTAACTGAGGAAATATTTTAGGACTTACTCCACGGATTTATATTACATCCGTGCTTACTCTATGTGTTATATGTACCTCTAATAAGAGCTGTCCGCATCACTCAGCCCTTATTAAAACTGTGTCTACAGGTAAGGACCCGAAATCGAGAGAAGAGAGAAATGTTTTTATATTATTATTATAGCACTTCCTTTTCATTTTTTTCTTATTATCTTTCTATCTTTTTTCTATTCAGGAAATAATGTGAATAATTATCAAGATAAACAGCACAAGAGAATGTTTTCAAAGATTTGTTTTAAAAATATCACCTTTCCTTTAAATACGTTGTTAATTAAACAATAAAGCACATTAGTTTACTAGTTTTGATGACAACGGCTAATGTGATTCTAGATATCAATAATCTTTTATTTATCTTGCAATAATAAGTATTCACATTATTTCTTGAGTAGAAAAAGTTAATGAAGAAAAAATAGTGGCAAATAACTAACAATAAACATAGGGCCGGGTTGACCAGATATCAGATTGCATTGGGGCCGGATTGACTAATTTGGGACCGGATTCACTTGACGCCGGGTTGACTTAGGGCCGGGTTGACTTTGTGGCGCCGTTATATGTCGCAACGATAAAATATACAGGTTTATAATATCCAAAATATACCCCCCCATATGGTATAAGTTTATTTATACAATATATAGAGTATTTTTGGATATCATCATTATCATTGATTATTTGATCGAATTTCAAGTTCATGTGGTTTTTAAAAATAGTAGTCAAAATGAACTTATTAACTCTGTTAATTGGTTTATTGGAGGGGGTCAATCTACTATTTTAATGAATTACTTGAAAAACCTCGTCTGACCCACCCGTGTGTTTCCATTCCTATTAATGAAACCCATAATAACTCATGTTAAAATTGCAGACGAAAGTTTCTGTTTTTAAAATGTCACAATATTCAGCAAATCAACATTTGCGAAAAGACAATTTCAAAATGATATAACAATTCGTAAAAGTAGCATACTTAATGTTTTTTTTTATATATTTATAAAGATTGTAATTAATTGTTTGAATATGTTTGTATTTCATTTCCTGCTAAATTCCCCAGTTTGTTATTCATTGAATATGTTTGCATTACGAAATTCTCCAGTTCGCTATTCATTGTACATATCGCGAACTTTCATTTTTGATAATCAAACACCCTCATACCAATCGGAATGATCGGCTATTATGACTGACGAAAAGGCCCGAAAAGTTGCACTTGCCCTTTCACTAAATCTGATTTCATTCCGTAAGGGGCGTCGCGCTTCGGTCCGGACGCCAATAATACTTTGTATAATCAGAGCTTAAAATATACCAGGGATGTCCCAAAAGGACGCCTTTAAGTTCCGTTCAGAAAAATATAATGCACTATTTGTATTTTTCAGAAACATTATGTATGTACCGTCAACACATATTACCAAAATGGCTAATTGTACGCAAATTGCGACATTTTCTATTTTTAATTTCTAAGTCAAAACATGAACAATTTTTGTCGACAAGACGTTCCTTATTTCAAAGTAGATTTTCAATAAATAAACTACAAACATCAAGCATGATTTTCAGCGAATCGTTGACGAGTGTATATGTAGTGTTTTTGTCACTCATACAAAATTTTGACATCATACATCAGCTTGATCTTACATCAGGCATGCTTTAATAAAGCAGATACAAAATAAAAAGAAATCAAAACGACATAATTTGATGTTCACGGGAACCGGTGTGTCACAAAGTTATGCGTGTCTCTTCAAATCTCATTAAATGAGAACTAAAAATTATAATTAGGTAACAAGGGAGGACGATGTGAATATGCATGAATGTGTATCGTTTGCAAATATCACGAGATATTGAGTTTTGCAGACAATTTCGAGCGGAAAACCACCTTATACTCATAGCGGCATTGTTAACTAGACGATAGTATGTAAAGTATCTTCAAAATTACGAATCATTACAATAAAAGTTATGTCCTTAAATTATATACATTCTTGGATTGCAAATGAATCGTTAATCAAGGCGTACAAGCAATCGATCAAGAATAAAATGGTATTCTAGCTTTGATTTGGAGTGAGAATTTCATAGAATCACGTCATGACATGACGGCGTAACTTGTGTCCCTACCTCTGTACAACATGATTTTAAATGTATATTATTTACAGACCCAACGATAAAGTATCTAAAAGTTTGCACGTTGGGCTGATTAACTGTTTCTTGTACTTTTCTAAAATTTCAATCAAATACATATAGTAAACAGGATAAAAGTTGATATTGCTTTGTAAGAAACGTGTTGTTTTAATGTATATGTATATATTTACAATCTAAGATTTTAAAACTCATATTGAACTAAATTTACATGATTAGTGTGTTCCTTGCAAACCAAACAGAACTGTGATCTTATTTTTTAAAGAAACTATGATTGACCATATACTTTTTCTTAGTATTGAATAAAAAAACTTTACATACCCTTTAGTTTTGAATACTCATGCCGATTAAAAATAAGGCTCTAAAACAACATACATATTTCGGAGCGAAGGGTGTTATTGAATAAGTGATAAGCTTCTTTCACCTTGAAAACTTTCTAAGATAAATAATTTTAACATAAGTACACAATTGTTAAACCATACGATATAGCAATATATCATTTTTTTTTTCATTTAAAAGAAAGGATATATTGTATCTGTGTAACTTGTTGTTATAATCTTATCAGCTTTTCGCGTCCTTGGAAGCACACTTTTTATTTTTTTGTAAAGCTACTACTTAAGATAAAATTGTAATGTTAAAAGACTGATATGAAAAATTGAGGAACAATTAAAATTAATCTATAGGCTCATTTATCTTAGAAATAGGAACTTCTATAGCCTCTTTTTGGATTCATAAATAGTCTTTCATTTCAACAGAGGCAAAATGCAATGAGAAGAATGGTGTTCACAGTTTTGGTGATAATTGCCGTTTTATGTGTCATTGCGAACAGAATACAGAATGTAACGAAACTACCGGTGAATGTTCAAATGGATGTGCACGTGGATGGTATGGACCCGGTTGTCAGTACAGTAAGTTTGCATTATAATTTCAAACATATTTTATTACCATATTCATATTAAATATAGAAATCATGAAACATATCTAAAAATAGTGTAACAGTCTTAAATAACGTATATGTTTTGATTGTTTTCTTTCCTTAAGTGTTTATCGTGTTTTATTTTAAATTCAATATTTGTAAAAACGTGTATTTAAACTGTTTGCAAAGGCGATGTAAATAATTCGATTTCTAATGATATAAAGATCACTTCTTTTTCATTCCATCTGGATAAAATTGCAATGTTTAATTGGATGTTTAATCATTGCATATGCAGTGATAATATGAAAAATATCGCTTACAATGAGGAAAAAACTACTTTTTAAACAGGATTATTTCTTTGCAATTGTATTTATTATCTTTTATAGATGTTTGAAATATTTAATCATGATCATCATTTTACTTCTTGAAGAACAAAACATGTTTAAGTAACCGTCTTTAAGTTTTTTTATAAACAGCTATTCCGAATTTCAACATTGTGCAATTTTTTATATGTAAAATTGAACTCAGCTTACCTGCATTTTGACCTAGAGACATGTTTGTTGGGTGCAATAAAATTTGGTCACTGTAGACAATTTTATATGAAGAATTCAAGCTGTCCTAAATTTGACATAGTAACCTACTTTATTGTATTTTTGTAAAACAGCAATAACAATTGTATCATTTTTGAAGTTTAAATTTAGAATCAGCTGACCTAAACTTTTTCTTTTTCTTAATGTGCAGCTATGAAATTTAGGCAATGTATACAGTTTCGATGTAAAATTAAATTCTGTTACTAGCTGACCTAGCTCTTCAACAGATGACCTATTGTTGCCATTACAAAATGCAGCTTTGAAATTTGAACTTTGAACCATGAGTTATAGTTTTAGATTCATATCTTCCGTTCTTATTATTGACCTATCTGTTTTACAGTTTAATGCAACGTTATGAAATTCGAACCATGTGCACAGTTTCTGATGTGGTATTGAACTCTGATATAATTGACTCAGATTTTGATCTAGTGACCTTTTTTCTGTTCTTGATATACAGTTCTGAAATTCTGTGTATAAGCAGTATCATTTTGTATCAACTGACCTCGACGTTTATCTAGTGAACTTCTTTATTTACCTTTTTATATTCAGCCTTGATATTCGGGCCTCTTGCACAATTGAATGACATTGATTTTGACCTAGTGGCCATCTTTTTGTGAAAGCAGCATTAACTTGCATACACGATTTGAAAATAATGTCACACTAATTTTTTGGACTTTAAAATACGTGTGTATATTTCAATTTTTATGTGATTAATATATGTGTATGTTATGTGAAAACATGCATTTTATATCAGGGGATATCATAGATCATAAGTTTTCAAAACACTCGAATAACAGTTATAGTAATTTGGCAACTGACGGCAAGATAGACACGTGTTACCGGGAGTTTAAGAATAATAGGACGGAGCAACTGTTCTGGAGCGTTGTGTTATCTATTAACGAAACGATTCATGAAATACAGATTAGCACTAAGGTTAAGTCTTTGGGTAAGGCAACTTAATTAAATAAATGTATTTATTGTTTTAAGTAAGAACTTTGAAAATTACGAAAAGGAAAACTAATGGCATAAGCTTATTTCATAAAATTATATACTATCTTCCAATGAATTTGCGCTTGTGTACATAAATACTTTCTAACAAATGGAATTGAACCTTTTAAAATTACTAACGTGTTGTATCAGTCATTCAAGTTACTACCATCATTTACAAAAAGCTATAGTTATCAAGAGAAATAAAAGTATTTGAGACCTTGAATTATAACCAGTTTATCATTACACGCCGGCCTCGAGGCCGGCGTTAGATATGGTATAAATAAGATAAAAATTCCATGAGGAAAAATTGGCCTGTGTGTTTGACATCATAAGGCCAAAACAAATTGATCTTGAGGTTCTGGTAACATGCTGAAAAATAATAGGGTAGGTAGGTCGTAAAAAACATTTTATTTTTCTTAATAAGTATTTTATAAAAAAAGTAACTGTATGTCAGATATATACAATATAGGATACTCCGTTTTTGCAATAAAATGTTCTAGGTTAGGTGTGGAAATACAGGGTTGGTCAGGTTACTGGAACCACAAAATCATTTTGTTTTGGCCTAAATTCGTCTGAATGAGTCTCGCAAGAATTGTCATTTAATATATTAGAAACTAATTATATTTATTATAAAAAAATCATAATATTGATTTAATAGCCATCTATTTGCATAATTTCTATACGCAAGTTCTTAGATATTCCCTTCGCTCACATTGAAAAATACGATAGTGACTTATATATAAAAAAAAGCTTTGAAAATTAGAACTTATGCTAATTTTTTAGTTTGTAGACGTTTATTATCAGAAATTAATAATATTTATTGTCAAAAATAATCATTATGATCATTTAGACCCCATTTATTTGCATGATTTTTATATTCAAGTTCAGCGTCTTCCTTTCTCTCGCACTGACAAAATACGAAAGTGACTTATAAAATATTAAAAATAGTATTTTATTTGAAATTTATAATAATTTTTCAGTTTGTAGACGTATTTTTCATAAATGTGTAAAATACTTCTTTTCCAAAATAATGATTATGATGGTTTTAATATCAAATTACTTGCATAATTTCTATGCTGTAAACAAGTTAAGAGATCTTCCTTTCGCTCACAGAGAACAATACGAAAGTGATTTATGCGGACGACTGTGAGCGAGAGGAAATTAAAGCTTTTAAATTGGCTTTGCAGTTTTTAGACGTATTTTATGAAAACTAAATTTGTTTTGGTTGATTTTTTTTTAAATCGCTAAGATGATTTAATCTTCATTTATTTGCATAATGTTTATACATTAGGTCAGACATCTATCTTCCTTTAGTAGGTCAAAGATTAAGGTCACAGTGACTCAAAATGCTAAAACATTGCTTAGAAACATTTAATCATCACTGGTATATGAACCCGTTTGATTTTGAGATAAGAAGGTCAAGGTCAAGTGGCCCAAAATGGTAAGGTCATTTTGGATGATAGCTCCAGTATGTTTTGTCCTATGATCATTAAAGTTGGTAGGGAAGTTGATCATCATTCACAGATGACCCCTTTTGATTTTAAGATCAGTTGGTCAAAGGATACTAACAGAATGTATGAAGGGGGATATTTCGTGTTCTACGAACTTTTGTTCATAATATACTAACAGTGCATTTTTGTGACCTCGTGTACATAAAATTTTCATGTAAGATCGCCACAACATGTAACTATGCAAGGTCAAAGGAAGTTTGAATTCCTTTTATCCTGCATTAAATATGGCCCTTCCTTACTTTTTATACTGTATACATATTTCACAAGTCGTGTAACTTCAATTACTGACCTTAACATAAATTCTACTGCCAGCTATAAATATTTTACTTTTCTGTTCCGGTAAAACTTGCTTTAGTAGGGTACCCGGTATTATCACATTGAGGTCAAATACCAGTAATAGACCCTATCGTATACCTTGAACTAGATATAATTCAACCATAACATAATTGACGTAACACCATGTACGTCATTCCAGGTCTTTCTCTAGTGTAATACAGCTAGTTTACTGCGGAAGCACTCCACACTAAATTGCAAGTCTCTGCCGCCAATGTCGTAAAAGCAACATTTTTTTCTAATTTTGTTCCCAAACTACACAATCTTAAAAAAAAAAACACATTTTGTTGAAAAAGTTTGTACGTCCCCCCACCCATCCTACCCACCCACCAACACACACACACACACACTTGCTGTAAAAATTACATCTTTTTTACAAAGCATGCTGAATGAAAAACATGTTTACAAAAATGGCGACATTGACATCTATAATCAACAGCATGTGATTTTTTACCATGTTTTCGATTTTTCCAGTGATCATATTGTGTGCTACTTAAACAAATGTTGAAGCACCACATTAAATACCGTATTCCGGTATATATTGGACAAAGCAATTCAATGATTAAATGCTAAAATCTTGCTTTTTAACCCCCACAATATACTTTAAGACGTCTAATTCTTCCGCTTACATCGATTTAAATGCGATAATAAATGAAAATGTAAGAATCGGCGGAAAAAGCAATATTTTTCTACTAAATGATCACTATTTCTTAAGTGAGTTTAAATCCTTTACTGTCATGTCGTATTTGAGCATATGATACGTACATTTAAGATAGAAGAATATGTACAGGTAATATTATCAAACATATTTATTTCCATTAAAAGTAAAAAATACCATGATCAAAAGTTGCATGCCTTCATATATAAGTAAACTCTTACATAATTTTTTCTCTATTTTATTTCAGTTTATTTCAAGAAATTTACAGTTTTTGTAGGTTATTCTCGATTGCCTCGCAGCTATGATACTATTGATGAACGAGCGTGTTTTAGACAAGGTCACGATATTCCAAAATCATCAACGTTTATTGTTTTATGTAAAAAGCCTGTCATTGGAAATGTTGTGAAAATTGAACTTGCACAATCACAAAACGTACTAGAACTTTGTGATGTGAGAGTAAATGGAGGTAATTTTTAATCTATATAAAAAATTCTTGATATTGATATCTTCACATTGACCAAATAAACATTACATAATTATGTATGTAAATGAGAAACAAAAAAACATAAGTCCTTGTCGGGAGAATAACAAGCTTTGATCTTATTCAATCTTGGCAATTAGTTGAAACTAGATTTCACTAGCTCATCGAGAATTTTAGGCAGAGAAGCACTGTCTGACTATTATAAATGTAATATTTCTCATTTTAATAACTAGCTTATATTTGTTTAGCTGTCACTATTTTTATTTTTTAATATTCCCATATTTAAAATGGTTAACAAACATCTTCAATTATTATTTAAATTAAAACAAAAAAGCAACATATAATAGCTTTTAATGTAAAACAAAAAATATGGAACCACATGAAACATGTCCTTCCGTTGAAACAACATCTAACTAAAGGTTTTGCAATGCTTATCATGCTGTAATTTTAAATCCTTGCAATTTTTCATTTTGTTAATATTGAATTAAACTGGTTGCAAGTTGATACGTTGGTTGCAGGTAGAAAAGTTGTGCGTTTGGTAAGATTTTTATCCTGCAGTCGACTGCTGCACAATATATCAAAGAAAATTATGTCTATAAAAAGAAAATAAAGAAGAAGAAAAGAAGATACAGTTTAAAATTGACATTTATATTGTAAATTATACCATACTCGCTACATGTTAACGGTTGTGATAATAGGGGTGTTAATATACACATGATTTTATAATAAATTTTAAGTGGTGTTTGATACACAATTACATTTTTATTTCATTACAGTATCTTTCAACGATTCTCTTTGTGACATTATGCAATCGTATATGCTTTTGCACATTCACGTTATAAATGCAGATATTTAAAAAAATACAACATAGATAGTATACACAACAAAAAGGTTTGCAATAGTTTTAAGAGAATGGAAATTTTAAAGTTAAAATAAAAAAATAAATCGCTGAAATAGGAATCGAACCTACCAGGTTACGATTCCATCCTTCTGCTAAAACCCCTTTACCAACTGCACTTTGAGGGATTTTTAAATTTACAGCATTTTAACAATTGGATATTTACATGCATATCGATTTTCAAGTATATCGTAACTCACATATTCACGGAATACGCCCAAGGAAGAGCCACGGATTAATCCAGGCATCGTCCGAAGCTACCCGTACTGGTCAGTAGTTCTCCGTATTGTAACCGTAAATAATCGTACCATTCCGTACCGTTTCGTGTTGCAACGCAATAAACCGTATAAGACCATGCTAATCCCTTCCTCTCCGTAGTACAACGTATTACGATCGTGGCTTTCCGTGACAATGCCGTATTAATCCGTATAAAAACCGTACCTTATAGGTAGGGTAACCGTACAAATACGTAGTTCTCCGTACCAAACCGTGGAAATCCTTGACAGGTTGGTGGACTACGAATCAGTACGGACTAGTACGGTTTTCTTACGGACCAGTACGTATCAGTACGGTTTAATACGGACTAGCAGGGATACGTTACTGTTGATTTTTTCCGTAGCAAATTTGTGTGCATGTTTAAAAATTGTCAAGGATTGCTACGGATATACAAGGACTACTACGATTGATTACGGTTACATTACGTAGAGCTACTGACCAGTACGGGTAGCTACGGACGATGCTGGAATTAATCCGTGGCTTTTCTGTGGGCTTATTTCGTGAATATGTGACCGGGGTAATAACATTTACTTTTTCAAGGTTATAAATACTTAACTACCTTCTTGTTAAAAACAGACATATTTGCTTGAACATTTGCCATTTACTGGCTGCAACTTTATATTGCTTGAAATGGCTCAGGCTGCGGAGGCAGTGGTCGAGCTACTTGATGACATGCATAGAGGTAAAAATATATTAATATCGTACTACAATTCATAAGTAATAGAATAACATTTAATGTTACATATTTTATAAACATTGGATCGTAAAATTGGAGTAAATTTGTACATAAAACGAAGTGTCTCATAAGCCTCGGACGCTGGCCCTTGAGTGATAATAAGATTAATTAACAAGCTTTTTACATATTTTTGAAACATAAACATTCACGATAATTAATGTAATTGTAAAATGAACAGCAAATTTTAAAATCAAAAGAGAAGCAGTATTGATCACCATTTTTTATTAATGATTACTAGTCCATATCTAATCAGGTAAGAGAAGACAAAGGAGATGGTGGACTAGACCGTACTTATTCGTACTAACCCGTGCTTATACCGTAGCAGAACGTAGTGTATCCGTAGTGCGTCCGTCCTGATTCGTTGCGCTCCGTATCAAACTGTGTCGGTCCGTAACAAGGGGCTTTTGGTGGTAAATCCGTCGGACTCCGTACTCATACCGTTGTGTGTCCGTACTGGAACCGTAGCGGACTACAGAATTTCACATTTCCGTAGTAATCCGTGAAAGATAAGACCGTAGCTCTTCTGTGGCATTATCCGTGAATATATGACCGGGGCATTACGGAATAAACCGACTACAGGGTTAAATGCTAGAGTGTCAGGTCAATGTTGTTGGACAATATCTGTGTCAAGTGACCCATAACAACCTTTATGTCACAATTATCTCGTGGAAACTGCATATTTGACTTGTATGCAAATTTAATTACTGTAAACAATATGTTGATGTTTTTAGATCTATTTTGTGTGGGAGAGTAGCTTTAAACAATAATTTATGTCTGATAAGCTCTAAACAATTTATGATCAAAGAAATTAAAACAAATACTTAGAGTATAAACACATTGTACAAATTATGAACACGAAATGATTTAAATCCTCTAAGATGAAGAATAAATTATCTAAATTCAACCAAAACCTTAAATCTACGGCATGCAACAACTTAAATTCAAACCTATCGATAGTTACAAATACCTTCACAATAAAAACACCAGTAATATAAAATCTTAAACAAGACAAAAGTCAACCTGATAAAAGACAATCAATGTGCCTAAATCACAATAAAGTTCAGATTATTAAGATAAACGCCACATAATTCAAAGGAATTCAACAAAACCATATAACTCTCTCTTATACAACAATATTCTCTCCTTTTAGCAAAGCAAAAAAAATAATGAAAATTATTACATTATCATAAACTATCTTATAACATACCAACTTGACGTCTAAATGTAAAGAGGAAATAGTTTATTTACAGATTGAAATAAATGTATGTACTAACTTGATAAATGCACTAATACGCTAGCATAAAAAGATCAGATAAAACCGTAAAATAGTGTTGACAGTCGTTAAAGGCAACCTAATTTTTTACATTCAAACAAAATATTGGTAACTTAAAGTTTTTTTACAACTAAAGAGAAACTGTGCATGTTTTTTAGCAGAATATTAGCATAAGCAATAAACATCCCTTATTTACGGTGGCACAAAGGTGACATGTGTGTGTTTTTATTTATCTCGTGCGCACGAGATAATATGTCGTGGCAACGAGTTACTAAGTCATGGCCACGAGATAGATAAGTCGTGGCCACGAGATACTATGTCGTGGCCACGAGTAACTAAGTCGTCGCAACGAGATGATAGCTAAGTCGCGACCACGAGATACTTTGTCGAGGCCACGAGATACTATGTTGTGGCCACGACATAACTAAGTCGTGGCCACGAGTTAACTAAGTCGTGGCCACGAGATAATTAACCAATCAGAATGCACTATATATATATATATATATTACTTTTGCATGCAACATTAATCTTTGAAAATACTGAAGTTATTCACTTTGAACTTGTCTTTAGGATCATATTTGAAAGTCACCTTTCAAGGCCCATCAGATATTATTTTAACTATAGCCCTTTCTTGGGACAATTTTGTGATCGAATTATTCAGTTTGTATGTACTTCGGCCTGTTAACGTTGTTTATACGATAACATGAGAAGGAAGAAATCCTGGTTTATTTTATTTGGAAGGGACATTGCCCATGGACAGGAGATAGCCTACTAGTATAAGGTAAAATCCTTGTCTGACGAATAATTTAGAAGTAGGGGCATCCTTGTACTATATCACATGTTAGGTGATTAGGAAAATTTATATAAATGGTGTAATGTGATTGGTTATTTATCTCGTAGCCACGAGTTACTAAGTCGTGGCCACGAGATAGCTAAGTCATGGCCACGACTTAGTAACACGTGGCCACGACATAGTATCTCGTGGCCACGACTTAGCTATCACGTGCCCAAGACTTAGTAACTCGTGGCCACGACATAGTATCTCGTGGCCACGACTGAGCTGTCACGTGGCCAAGACTTACTAACTCGTGACCACGACATAGTATCTCGTGGCCACGACATAGCTTTCACGTGGCCAAGACTTAGTAACTCGTGACCACGACATAGTATCTCGTGGTCACGACATACTATCTCGTGCGCACGAGATAAATAAAAACACACACATGTCACCTTTGTGCGACTGTACTTATTACTAATTTGTTCATGGGATAGTTAGAACCGTTTGGCTTTCAACAGAAATTGTTAATTGAAAAGAATTTCAATGCCGCCGCGCATTATTTCCTAACACTTCATTCAACTGGTTGAGTAAAGATCGTAAATATCACCAAAGACTTCTTATTCAGCTTGCTTTATAAATTGACAACAAACATAATAGATTATTTTACTGGATTCATATATAGCTATTTATTTATACAATTCTTTCTTGATATAGATTACAAGTTCTCTGGTTACCATAGACGCTAAATCGATTTAAATTATTTGATTTATTAACTTGCTAAACTTAAATTCATTAACGCATATTTCGTAATATAATAAAGAATTTCTTAAGCATTACCAGAATTATTTAATACTGTCATTATATTTTTTTCAGGAAGAAATTTAGCATTTAAGCGAACTTCTGCACAATCATCAAAATTCGAAGGATGCGGAACACATTTTTGCAAATCTAGCTTCGCTGTTGATGGGTATGCATCAACTAAAGATATCTATTTTTGTAGTTTAACCGACGAAGAAGAAAAACCTTGGTGGCAAATGTATCTAGATTACAATATAAGGATCTGGAACATAAAAATCATAGGTATAGATAAAGAAAAAATAGTGAATAATTGAAAATGATATTATAGGATTAAAGTATGTCATATTTCTGACCCTTTCTTGTTCAAATAGTCTTACATGTATGACATAAAAAATGACCTGTCTTTGCTAATTACAGTTGTTTCAATAATATTTTCAAAGTAAATCTTTGCTGGTGAACTTTCTAATAACATTTTATTTTTTCACGATTTCTATTACTGATTAATTGTATCAGTAAGCTACACAAGTCAATAATCACGGCCATGCAATATATCTTTACGGAGTCGCCAAAGCGACATAGGTATGGGATTAAGTACTGTTGAATACAATTTACATATAGAAAATTACAAATAGGAAATGAAAGTTTTAGGTACTAACAAATACATAGTTAGTAATGTTTACTTCATGGAGTTAACTGTACAATTTCAGATACCAATAATCACAATCAAATACCATATGTGGTGCATATTACAAATACAAATGATACAAAAATCGGAAAAGAAGGACCGTACGGGAAAAAAGGAGTTTCTCATAACACACACACACAAAGTTTTACAATGAATTCAGCGGGCAAGTTTGTGACAATATCTGTAGAAGGAAAACGTAACCTAACAGTCTGTGAAGTATTTGTTTTTGGAGGTAACGGATTTTAAAATGTATTTACTTTTAAGATGCAGTATATTACTTTAAATCATCTTACTTTGTATAAAAATGCATTTTTATTTGCGAATATAGCTAAAGTAAACAGTAATTCTAAATTCATTCAGTGGCCATTCATATTTCATAGTATTCATATTTCTTTTGAAGTTGTTTAAATATAGAAGATATTGAATTAGTGAAGGTTCAATACTGAACGAGCTAAATAGAATTACATTGTGTGAGCCTCTGCCAAGCTTCACATTATATTATTTAAGGAATTCAATAATTTGAGTAATGAAGCCTCATGTATATATTATACTTTTTGTTACGTATCCAAAGTAAGAACGTTTTTCATTAATGCGCTTATATTGTAATGCTTAGATTTAGCTCATCATGTTTAAGTTACGAAAATGAAGTCATGAAGCAATGTAAAACCATTTCTTCAGAGTCGTTAAGACAGCACGGGTATGTTATAAAAAATCAAATATGGTTGTTTCTTTGCTTTTCTATGGGATGGCTGGTTAAGTCACATTGGCCCTCTAAAGGTCATATGGCGACATTACAGCTTTGATGGTTGAATTATAGTTCAGGTATTCATTCAAGCATTCTATACAAAAACGGGCTTCTGAGAAGAATAACCGGTCTGTCTATCAAATTTTATTTCAGGCACAAGCGGACACCTTCTTAAAACCACGATCTGAAGTAAGCCACGTAAATGTGTTTTGATTTAAAGTCCGCTGAAGGGATTCGAACCGTCAGCAGTAAGGGGCATATGTTTTGAACTTTTATTAAACAACTCAGAAGGAAGATTTATCTGTCTTAGTTAAGATAATGAATTTAGGTAAAGAATATGCACACTATATTTAATCAGCATATCTCATTCTGTTTCGCTGTACGACAGATTGCCGAGTAAATCAATGTGGGTATAATTGCGAGAAAAAATGTCAGTGTAAACATGCCACAATGTGGGATAGAATTTCCGGAAATTGTGCAATAAGTTGTGACAAAAAGGAAAGAGGTTATCAATGCAATATGCGTAAGTAAAACTAAATTAAATGAGATGTGAGAACAGTTAAGTTATAATCAAATAAAAATTGTCAACTCTTTCCGCTGAGCTGAAGCAACATTTGTTATATAAATTCAGCATTTATTTTATGTAAAACCGAATACATTCATTGGAGTGTTATCCTTGACTTAAAAGTTATAAATGCATGCAATCGGTTCCAAGCAAAATTGTATACATATTTGTTTCATTTATGTATGGTTTAATTTTTGACGTTCGTGTATTCATTTATTGTCATTTAATATTTTATTTAGGCGTAAATAGGGTTTGATACAAAATGAATGTTTCTATATATCTTAGATGTTTGAACTTATGTTATAATAGAAAAACATTGCAATATAAAATTCACTATGATAGTTTATATTGAATAGCCTGCAAAACAGATGATGACTGCACCTTTGAGTGTGGAGAAAATTGTTTTGGAGGTGACTGCATTCCAAAATCCGGAGAATGTACTAAAGGTTGTAAACCCGGATGGGAGGGAACGTACTGCAAAAACAGTTAGTATTTTTTTTATTTGTGACAAGCCTTTGATAGTATTGGCATAAGCATAATGTATTTTAAAAAAGATCTTATTCGTAAAAGGTTTTGGGTCACAGTTGGGGGCGTATGTGCATGTGGTATAGTCATTCTTCTCACTAAATCACTCAATTTCTTAACCTAAATTTCTTAACCTAAATTCAATTATGATTAAAATGGTGTGGCATTGTTTATTTCTTGACACTTTTTCCATGTAGATAATAGTGTAATTGAAAATCAGAATTTTGTTTAAATTACAAAAAGAACGAACATGAATTATATACATAACTTATTTGAGTGCCTGAATATATTTCTGAATAACCATTGTCCTATACTTCAGTATTCAATTTGTTATTAGGTTGTAACAATAATACGCTTTAATATCTGTTTTCTATGGAGGCTATTCGTTGCCAAAATCCAGACATGTTGATCTGAGTTGAACAGTTTGTTTACAGACAAAATACAATTGTATATTTCTGTATGTAAACTCAAATGTTGCATTCTTGGATTGAGTTTGCCGACATGTATTTCAACAATATGCATTTTGTTAAACGACAAAACATCAAATGGTTTTCCGAGAGTAGCAATACCAAGTGTTCATCATAACATGTGTAATACTCATTGTTCGTGTATACGTCGACAAAACAGAAATTACTTTCTTAGCTTTACATTGTCAAATAATAGAGAAAAACAGAATCCCTAAAGAAAGCCCAACACGGCAAGATTGAAAATATTTCAGGCTCGGTTTGATTGAGCCTGTTCATGGACGGTACTGGAAAGTGCAAGTTACCGTCCACGCCCCCTAGCACCGGCTTAAGCAGAATTCAGCATTTAACACGAACTGGTACAATTTAGAATTTTGAAACATCCGCAGATGTGTTCATATGACGGTTATGATGGAACCTTCAAAATGACACGTAAGTGCCATTCCATGACATGCGGCATATGGTCCCCAAGTAAAACAATGGGTGTGCCCTAAACGAGAAAACAATAGGCGGAACTAGTTAAATGGAATATTGAAAGGAGTTCTGAGGTTATGAAGCCTGCATATCACAGATAAGACATCAAAAGACAATTTAAAAAGCAGGCAACATATCCTAAGGGTTATTAAACAGTATTCAAGTAGGAATACTGGAACCACCCAAGTTGAAAAAGGCCAAATAGAAGAAACAAAAAATGCCGCATAACATGTATGCACAACAATTATGTCGTGTTGAACGATCTTCAAGGATTTTTACGACCGCCACACGCCACAAATAACACTGATGTGAACATAAAATAGAGAAAAAAACAGAATCCCTTAAGAAAGCTCAGCTGTACACGTTTTGCGAGGTAAAATAAGCTCCGCCCATGTTCCCGCCAATTACATCATTGGTAATAAACGTATTTATCCTCTCATTTCCTATATTTGCCGTCAGCGACTTGAGCAAGGAAACAAGAACACGCACCGGCGTAGTTTCTCTTTACCTAACCTTTTAGCTGTTTGGTTATTCACCAAACATAATTCACTTGCATGATTGCCATTCTATGCCTTTATTCAATCAACATCAGGGACTTTAAATGATTATAGGCCTATAAGTTTTGAAACGTCGTCGTAGATACCACATTTCCTAGAGAAAAAAAAGAAAACATCAGGTTACTTTCTGTCTCAATCTAACTTTTAATGGGGTTGTTTGAGGTTAAATATTTTTCAAGGAAGTAAAAATTATTGATATGACTATATTCAACATGCTCTTTTTAAAGACAAATAAATTTTACTGAGGGGATTCAAATTTACATAGGAATGAGTAACATTGACAGTTAAGCCTCTACCTTACCACTTCAAATTTCATAGAGATTTTGATACCACCCAATTCTAATACAGATCAAAATCTGGCTGTTGTCTTTCCTAGTAGTAACAATTTCTATAACATTAGTAACCTTAATAAATTCTAGCGTATGACTTGACAATGAAAAACTTTCAACAATAGTGCAATTAAAACCAAAGTTGTATGTACCCTTTCGTACATAACTTTTTTATTTTTACCATACCGTATAGATATATTTGCCCATTTTTGCCATTCTGTTTTTCAATAATAATATTTAAACTAGTCCAAAGGTATGTATGTTGATTATCAATTTATGTATACCATGTTTTTTTTATCTCTAAGAAAGCCATCACTTACAAAACTTAATAAATATTCTGTTAAGTATTTCGTGTCTCTACTTTTGATCAGAAAGACATCAAGTCTCAGTAACAGCTATTGACAGCATGTATACACACATTTTAGAGCTGTCACTGATTAAGTACATTGCAGAAAAGGGGGTTCGCTGAAGATAAAAGCTATGACTCAAAATATCTCGCAATGGAGGTAAATAGAGATGCTAGGATACACAGAATATTTATTTCAACATAAAAATGGGACAAATTTACAAGCTTTTGGTTATACAACGGAATTATCGATAGTAAACCTTGAAAAGTTCCGTGGTTATACACTTAGTCATTTGGGGTTTTCTAAAGAAGGCACAAACTTTCTGGTCATTTTGCCAACAGTGAAATACATGTATCGCATTGCTGAATGTAAACCAATTGCGTACGTAAAATTCAACAGTTCTTGAAGGCGTACAAACCCTGTCGGTGAAAGCTTAGCAGCAGAGGTGGTTTGTATATATATATATATATATGGAAAACATTCCCTCATGTTAATTCACCAACCTTAGTTTTTGCATATTTTTATGCTCATTATCAGTATAAACGTTGTAACATTGTTACATTATATCTGATCCAATTTTGCATTACTTGATTATTCTTGCTAGAATACTTTTGGATATTCAAAATCAACTTTAATGTAGTATGTGACATTTATAACAGTTTTTTTAATTGAAATATTTTTGTACTAATTTTTACTGTAAAGTAAGAGTTGCCTCTTTTTAGATAAATTGGCTCCGACTACTAATTTTGTCTATTTCCGTGATAATGCCATATATCTTAAAGTGTCCCCAATGCTCTAGAATCTTCCAAATGTAAATATAATTAGCAAATAATGAAAAAGCACTCCAAATACAAAGCAAGAACATAATACGTAAATATGCTGCACACATAACAATATCAAAAACATTATGAGTACATCTATCAAAACAATTTGACAAAAGAGTTTTACTAATGGTTATTAATCTATTAATCTCACTTGTTCACATCGGTGCATTTTAATTAGCAGTATATGAACTATAAGTTGGATCCATAATTTAAAGAAAAAATGTAGCATTTATCTTTAATATTGATGTATATGTATAGATAGGATATCTCAGTCAGGTTGTGCTGCTGAACAGACAAGTCCAAAGTGTGTAAACATTTTAATCATTTTTAAATTATTGTTATAACTTTTTGGTGAGATTTTGTTCTTTACTGTTAGTTATAATGTTTATTAAAGATTACACTGCATTAGCTCTTTCAAACATTCGACAAACAAATACAATTTTATTTATTACACAGCTTGTGATCCTGGCTTTTATGGTCATAACTGTTTGAAGAAGTGCAGTGACCATTGTAAACACAGGAATGAATACTGCAACAATGTTGACGGAAACTGCACATATGGATGCATGGATGGATGGAAGGCACCATTGTGTGACCAAGGCAATATTTCGTTTCAATATTTAAGCGATTTAACTTCCAGTTAATATTGTTTAAGTTCAGATGAGTGTGGTTTATTTGTATATACTGGTTTATTACAAAACGCCTGTAGAGACTTAATTCACTGATGTACTTATATACACACGAAAAGAAATATCGCAAAATCTGATTCATTAAAACATTTTAAATCGTTTATAAACTTAATTTATTTGACTTTTATAGCACATTGTGTTTGCAGTGCACGGTTATTTCTTCATGACTTACAAAACGCACACCACATGCATGTTAGAAACCAAGTTATAACATACTGTAGTAAATATTCAGTTTACTTAAAAATCGTTCTGTTCCTTTGCTAATTGTAAAGTATGAGTGTAGATGTTTTACGTTAAAAATAGTCAAGAATGCGCAGATTTCAACACTTTTCTTTATTCTCATTCATGGAATAATATATCAATGTGATACAACAATGCGATTCTCTGAAAAGAATAAATAAACAAACTAAATACTGATTACAACGCATTTAAAATAAAATACAATAAATTGTCTAAAATAATAATGTCAATACAAATCATAAATATACGATATCACCTTTACAATTATAGACTTAAGTCTATTAAAATAATATTGTTATTTTATATTTCCGCAAATAATTCCGTTTATAATTTAATTCACGGCAAATATTGTAAAGTTCATCATCGTTTAAACAATATTGAATTTACTATTGAGATTCATACATAATAAATATCTAGCTTACCGATTATGATCTACTTTCCATTGGTATAACATCAATAAACAAAATACATCAACAATTTTAAGGACGTCCGCCCAAGGCAAAACAACAAATCAAAGTAACGGTTAATGACGTCACCGTAAAACAATTAAATGACGTCTTTTTACGGGAAACAAAATAAGACGTAACGTTGGCGGAAATAGTGAAGCTATGTTAAATTGAAAGAGTCAAACAATGTCTTTAATAGTAAATACTATCGGACAAATTAAACTATGAAATTCTGTGATTATAAATAAAATAAATTTACAATTAAGAACTATAATTCTTACAATGAGAATTGAAAATTTAATGACAACGCCTGATTGACATGCATAATACGGATATATCAATATTTCTGTGGGGGGCCATGGTAAAAAAAATATTGGTCAAAAACTATCGACTCTCAGCTGTTCCTTTAAAAATACAAGGTAAAAGATAATATTAGGAAAACTATCGAACTCGTCTACATCGTCAATATTCTTGAAGACCAGACACGGCAAAATGTTTTAAAGATACAGCTCAGCTAAAGATTGAAATATATTTCACAGAGTGAACACTAGCTGCAATATTTTCTTTAGCGGCGTAGCCTGATTTTACATGCAAAACAAACACAATTTTAATTTATTCCATGGTTTTTGGTAGTTTTGTGTCATTATGTTAATGCATGGAAGGGCACCTGAGGTCTTCCTTAAATAAAGCTGGAAAGTCGCCACATACCCTAAACTGTGTTGGTGCCACGTAAAACCCAACACAATACAATGAATATTATTTGACCGAATATTTCTTCGTAACATCATGCGATTTCCTTCATGACGCCATCAAACATTTTCATATTGAAAACAATCTATAATATTTCTTAAATTTGGTTTCACTTTTTAACATGTGGATACATCTATGTGTTTCTCGTAACCATTCATTTGTTACTCAAGACGATATGCGTTTCTTTACATTTGTCCATTTATCTATGACACATGCTTGTCATCCGCATTAACAAATAGTCCGGCAACTTTGAAAATTATACTAAATAGCTTAACTGTAAAATAATTAAAATATGTTTTCATATTGAAAAAGCATGTAATAAATATATATGTGTAAAATATGCAATAGTAATATTTTGATGAATTTAGCCTGTGATGCTGGTTTTTATGGTAGAAACTGTACAGAAAAGTGTAGTGAGCATTGTGCGGGGGGAAACAGAAACTGTAATACTACTACTGGATATTGTGAAATGGGTTGTCAGTCAGGTTGGACTGGACTGCGTTGTGTCAATGGTAAATTTGATTGATTGATTGATTAATAGAATGAGCGTACTTAAATTAGAGTACTTAAAATGATTTATCTTTTTTGTGAGCATTTTGTTTAATATTTTACTTTACTTGTTTACATGACCATACAATGTAAGGTCAGCGTTGTACAATTAACATAACAGCATTCAAAGGCTTATAAAGTATCAAATATGTTATCTTGTTACGGCCATTTTATCCATTGTGCTTGATAAAACATAAAGAATGAATGGAAAACACCTTTAATGCTCCAGTATGGTAAAACTTTATCGTGAATGTAAAAATGTTTTATAAGAAAAGTAAATATATAGATAATTCAAGAAGTAATTTACATGCTATATGCAGTAAATGGCTGATTTTGCGATATATATCACGATACTCTTACTGCTTCACTGGCGTAGTATGATGGCCGTTTAAGCATATTGTAAATTTTCGTAGAATGAATGTGTAGTTTGCAATGTGTAAATTTCTTTCTTTGTTTTCAGAAATGTTTTGTTTCTTTTTTGATAAATTTCATTTATTTTTCTATGACATTAGCAAGTATCTGGAGACATACTGATTAAAAGTATGATTAAATGCCGAAAAAAGGAAAACAACAAAACAACTATTCGCTTTCTGTCCGCTTATTTAAACTTAGTTTGCATGAAAAAAGACATCAAACTTCATCGAAAAATAAAACAACAAATAAAGAATATCGATGGTTATATACGTTATTACATGAAGATTTCGGTGAATATCAGAGCCTTCGGCCTCGGAGAATATCAGGCTAGCCAGGTTCATAGTCTTATATATTCACCTCATCATCATAGATAAATAATATATTATCATATCAATATTTAATAATACAATGTGCATATGTATTAATATATTGCAAATTAAAAATATAAATCAACATAGAATTTATCTAAATGAGTGATCAGTTGTTTACTGTATTGACATAAACATTGCATGCTATAATTGTTGAAAAAATATTCATTATATCCTGAAAGGAAATCAATAAAAGATTACAACATGACAGAAGACTGACCTGTAAATTATATCATTTTGAAAATGTCTCTGCCAACTTTATTGTTTGACAAGTTATATTTGAACTTGAATTTACGTCTTTGCAAAACAGACATTATTCATTATTTCATTCATTTTTCTTTAAAGATTGCTATTTTTAACATTTTTTACTGCATTTAAGTATATAGGTAATAATGGAAAAAACTAGTGCATGAATTATTCTTAAACTGTGCATGATAAAATATTAAAACTTAAATAAAATTAAAGGGGATAAAAATGGAAGTCACCATCCCACTTTCTGAGTTTCTTCATTTGATATGCCCGAAAGGGCATATCATGTTATACCCCATGGCGTCTGTCTGTCTGTCCGTCCGTCCGTCCGTTCGTACGTCCGACCGTCCGTTAGCAATTTGGTTTCCGGAGCATTACTTTAGTTCCATTTGGCCCGCAATTTTCAACTTTCATAGCATAATTGTCCATATTGAGTAGAAGACCTCCCTTGATTTTGGGGTCAAAGGTCAAGGTCGCTATTACCTTCAAACTGAAAACAGTTTTCGGAGCATAACATAAGTTCCATTTGACCCACAATATTAAAACTTTATAGGATTATTGTCCATATTGGGTAAAGGACCCCTATTGATTTTGGGGACACAAGGTCAAAGGTCAAGGTCACTATTACCTTAAAACTAAAAACAGTTTCCAGAGCATAACTTAAGTTCAATTGGCTCACAATATTCAAACTTCATAGGATGATTGTCCATATTGGGTAAAAGAACCCTATTGATTTTAGGGTCACAAGGTCAAAGGTCAAGGTCACTATTACCTTAATACTGAAAACACTTTATAGAGCATAACTTAAGTTCCATTTGGCCGACAATATTCAAACTTCATAGGATGATTTTGCATATTGAATAGAAGACCCCTATTGATTTTTGGGTCACAAGGTCAAAGGTCACTATTATCTTAAAATTGAAAACAGTTTCCGGAGCATAACTTAAGTTCCATTCGGCACACAATATTTAAAACTTCTTAGGATGATTGTCCATAAAACTGTAAACAGTTTCTGCTAAATAACTTAAGTATTAATCAACCTACAGCTGTAAAATTTTTATAGGATGAACAGCTTATTCCCTTGTCTTACAAATGCTTCATCCTAAACTAAAAAACACTTTCGGGCATATAATGCTCCGCCTAGCGGTGCTCTTGTTGTTCTTGTAGTTCTTGTTGTTTTGTTTCTCCTTCATATGAAATTGTGAGACCAATTAGAGGATTATAACACTTTCCTATCTGAAAATAGAAAGAGTTACCGTTTAATTGTTTTGAATTGTTCTATACCTTATAGCATGTCCTTCTAGAAAGTTTGGTGCAGGATGTAAAGAGAGTTGTGCTTCCACTTGCAAAAATGATGCTTGTGATCATGTGAATGGCATTTGTCGTGATGGATGCAAGCGAGGTTATCAAGGAGATAAGTGTGAAAGTGGTATGTCTTTACATTTGGTTTAATTATTTACGATATCAGTTGAGAAATTTCGTTTTAGATGTCAATCTTTAGTATATTGATTTGAGAAGTATGTTCAATTTCTATTTCGACAAATCAGGAAAAGGATTGTTAAAATTGTTAAGGCAAGGCCGAGTATTTAACTCGTCGGACTATAATTTAATGATCGCTAACCTCAATGTTTACAACCCGTCGTAAGCAAGCCCGTGTTTCCTTGAGCAAGACACTATACATTGCTCAGTACTGGTTGGTTCGAGGAATGGATTCAAACGTAGGTCTTTAAGCTTATGGGTTTCTACACAATTGAACTAGAATCATAGACAAAGCGTGCAATTAATAATATATTTCTACTTTACAATCCAGTAATGAACCTTTACTTAATATTCAGTATCTTCTAAAATATCATAATTTGTAATGTCTACAAACTGATCATTTAAATACATAAAAGACGTTATTTATTTGCGAATCTGAAAAAGAATATTTCAATTGTAATTATTTTGTAACAATTCATCCAATTATATTCAAAATTTGCATGATGTAATTATTTACACAGTATTTTATATTTCAAAATACACAAAGGAAATCAAGATGAGAGGATGTGCATTGAAAGCAGAATGATTTTGTACTATACACTTCTTTATCAAAAATAAGTTGACAAACATTTCTGCTGATTTGGCAAATATGTTTAAATTCTTATGAAAATTATCTAAATAATTTGTGTTTGTATATTTTTACACGTATATCAAAAAAACTTTTATTTCCAACACGATGTTCATCCATTAGATGATTTATTTGCTTTTTCAACATAGTTCTTCATTGTAAATTTTCTAAATACTGATTTTTTTCTACTTTTGTTTAGAAACAATGCTGTAACAACTACGTAGCGACCTTGTAACATCTATGTAACCTTATTAATTCCGATTTTTTGGTCATTTTCAAGGCTTGTTCTGTAACATTTGTAACATCCTGTAACATTTGTGACAATTATCTGTGAAATTTTCATTTCACTCCAAGTTGTTACAGCATTGTTACATAGTTGTTACAGCATTGTTACAAATGTTACGAAGGTTGAGAATGAAATGAAAATTTCACAGATAATTGTTACAAATGTTACATGTTGTTACAAGTGTTACAGCACAATAATTAGAAATGGTCAGAAAACGGAATTAATAAGGTTACATAGATGTTACAAGGTTGTTACAGCATTATTACAGCATTGTTACAAATGTTACAAGAATTTGGAGTGAAATGAAAATTTCACAGATAATTGTTACAAATGTTACAGGTTGTTACAAATGTTACAGAACAAGCCTTAAATGACCAAAAATCGGAATTAATAAGGTTACATAGTTGTTACAAGGTTGTTACATAGTTGTTACAGCATTGTTACAAATGTTACGAAGGTTGAGAATGAAATGAAAATTTCACAGATAATTGTTACAAATGTTACAGGTTGTTACAAGTGTTACAGCACAATAATTAAAAATGGTCAGAAAACGGAATTAATAAGGTTACATAGATGTTACAAGGTTGTTACAGCATTGTTACAGCATTGTTACAAATGTTACAAGAATTTGGAGTGAAATGAAAATTTCACAGATAATTGTTACAAATGTTACAGGTTGTTACAAATGTTACAGAACAAGCCTTGAAAATGACCAAAAATCGGAATTAATAAGGTTACATAGTTGTAACAAGGTTGTTACATAGTTGTTACAGCATTGTTACAAATGTTACGAAGGTTGAGAATGAAATGAAAATTTCACAGATAATTGTTACAAATGTTACAGGTTGTTACAAGTGTTACAGCACAATAATTAAAAATGGTCAGAAAACGGAATTAATAAGGTTACATAGATGTTACAAGGTTGTTACAGCATTGTTACAGCATTGTTACAAATGTTACAAGAATTTGGAGTGAAATGAAAATTTCACAGATAATTGTTACAAATGTTACAGGTTGTTACAAATGTTACAGAACAAGTCTTGAAAATGACCAAAAATCGGAATTAATATGGTTACATAGTTGTTACAAGGTTGTTACATAGTTGTTACAGCATTGTTACAAATGTTACGAGAGTTTTGAGTGAAATGAAAATTTCACAGATAAGAAATTCAAGCAACAAACTTGTTACAAATGTTACTGAATTCACATGCGTTACGTAGGTGTTACTTAGTGTTACGCTTGTAACAAATGGCAATAGTTTCGTTAAATTGCGCCCATTTTGTGCCCTACGTGTTTCCACACATAAATTATACAATGTTGTAATGTGGTATTTCTTTAAATCGATTTATTTCCTAATCCTAATATATAATCCTTATTATCTTTTATCTTATTATCTTTTGGATATTAGTTGTTCTATTTATATTACAAAATATGTAAGTATGTCTTTATTTTCATCATTTCAAATTTGACAAATGAAATTCACACAAAAAAAATAAATGACTTTATTTTTCTTACTCATTGTGTATCCATATAAGGAATTTTATAATTTAATTTATTGTCCGCCTAAGGCACATCAGAAGCAGCTTATAGCTTCTATAATAAATGAATTACAGCGGTGATGATCGTTTCTTCTTATTCTAAAAGATATTATGCCGAGAAATGTTAATCAGCGTAACATATTGTATTTTCTAGAATGTCGTGACGGGACGTTTGGTGAAGAATGTAAGGAGGATTGTTCTTCTAATTGTAACAATAATACGTGTGATCATGTGACTGGTAATTGTACAAACGGATACAAGCCTGGCTATAAAGGAAATACTTGTGGAGAAAGTACGTATATGAGATAGTGTAAAATATATTATATGCTGATTTTTATTATATTTTATTTATTTATTTACTTCTTTCCTTATATATCATTGTAATTCATTGATTACTTTTAAAAGGCGTTAGAATCTTCATTGCTTTTATTTGTTTTTCATTTTTAACATTTTAAATTTGCAAATGTTTTGATTAAAATTTCGATGTCATCGGTACATTTCTAATGAAATATTATTTAAGTTTATACATAAAGAAGGAAACCTTTAAAGACAACCACGGAATTAAGACCATTCTACATTTAAGACAAACTTAAAACAATTCCATATTTAAGACAAACCTTAAAAAACGGAACCTTTATGTCAATAGAAACATGATCAACAATTAAGACCAGTTTGCGTATCCACTATTTTAACCACCAGTTTCCGTCACAATTCTTTTTTTTTATTTGTCCAAACTATTGAGACACTGGTAATCAAGTCAATACAAATCTATACCACAGTTTGTTTTTATTATCTGTTTAATTGCTTCAAGTTTTATTTTATATTTCTCAGTATGTAACATTCATAGACATGAGAACAAATTCTAAAAATACACGTAATCACAGAGGACAACTTTTATTTAAAATCTTGAAAGAATTCTCAATGCTCCATCAGACTAAATATTATAACATCTTTTTAGAGTAGAATTTGAAATATATAATACATATTGTGAGATCATATTCATACAATATGACCAAAAGAGACCTTGATATTAAGATTGTAAGTCTGAACACTAAAATTGACAAATGAGACAACAGTTTCTTTTAAATTAAGACTATTTTTGCTCAGCGCAGTTTGGCGGTCTTTACTATAAGGTTTTTGATGCAATATTGATAAAGTGACTTTTATTTCAGCACTATGGAAAATACAAGTACATGCACGTTGTCAATTGTTTCATGTTGCAGATTTAGAAATTATTGAAACTAAAAGCATTTAGGGAACTAAATTTATATCTGTTTCAATGTAACCATAGAGTGCCTAGCTGAAAAATATGGTGTAGGATGTCAGAAGAATTGTCAACTAAATTGCAAATTTGGTGTTCTATTAACCCTTAATCTCATATATACGCGAAACAACGCACTTTCGATCCACCCAACCCCCTCTTTTAGGCCTCAAATAGTGAAAAAATGTCCTGTTTGGGCCCTAAACACATGTTTTTGTTTGAGAAATGTTGATACAAAAGTTATCACTTTTTCGGCGCCGCCCCCATCAAAATGGAATATCGGGGAATGCCAGAAGGGTGGTGCCCCCTTTCTGTTTTGGGGTATTGAAGGGGGGCGGAGTCCCATCAATCGCCAAGAAAATTTTGGACTTGTGATAGGCTGAAAATGATCCCAGGTCACTCAAAAGGTAACGTGTAACCAATGCTGAAAAGCCTTTGACTCTATCTGAATCCATTGAGAAGTTGCAGCACTTTGAAATCAATTTTGACGGAAAAAAATCAACGCAAAATAGTGATTTTTGGCAATTTTGAGATGTCCCCTCGTTGCCATGGTAACAAGAAATTTAAGACTGAGCACGTTGTTACAAAGACAATGGTCCAGCAAAATTTGTGCCAAGTTTGATTAGTATTGAAGCAGTTTTTTTATAGTTTTATACCAATTTGAACTTGTAACGGGAGACTATTCAATGAAAACAGCTATTTTTTACAAAATGCTCATGCAGTAATGGGTTAAAATGTTATGGAATAATTTTGTCCGCTCAAAATAAATTATGTTCAATCAAAAGGCAATCTGGCATGTAACGTGCATAAACGCTACGCTTAAAGTTGAAAACGAACAACAATAAACATGCAGAAGTTCGTTTCATTGCATAGATAAGACATCACACTTGAAGAAAACAAATAATTCAATCTCTTTATCGAAACAAAATATACACTGTACCAAACACTTTGGTATAAACACAGCCTAGCATGATATATTTCAAAGAACAGAATAGCATAGCAGCCAACCAAAATTGCAGCAGTGCATTGTTACTACAGTCCGCACACGGTGTCATTAGTTATCAGGATTTGACACTTCGACTTATTGCCCGAGATAACATGATGCATGCATAAATCTGCGAAGAGTCGACCATTTCCAGCAAATAGATGAGAACATCGAAGCGTCAGTGCTATGAATGGTGTTATAAATAGCGTGTTTTGGAAGTTTTTGTTGAAACTTCTCCAAATCCCTCCAGAGGCGTGCACGTCGCGGAGAAGGCACACGGCAGGTCAAGATCAAGTCATCTCAAGTACAAGAGGTGATTGGTTGACCTGTCGTGACTTACTCTGGAGGTTTGGCGCTAATGAATGCCGTTTTTGTCGTCGTCAGTCAGGAAGTTGATGCCTTGACAGTATTTTCGTCTCCTCTACCACCAACGAACGAAGAATGGGCTACCAGGAAGATTCTGCTTGAAAAAGACGTCCTCTTATGCCGCCGATTATTTTTAGAACACAAACATATAAGTTCTTTTTATTTGATTTATTTAAATAAACATTAATCACTTCAGCGCGCAAATATCGTTTTCAAATTAAAGTTTCGTAAGATAATTATGTTGATGAATTCCCGATGCTCGACTGTAAGTCATAGGTATATATATGCGTTTTTTTAAAGCTTCTTATTCTTTAATATTTTTTATGTATCTCATAATCTGTATAGAAAATTTGAATTTTATTACACATGGACTATCAAATTATGATGCGTTTCCCTAGAATTTAATAAACTTTCTAATTACACAATACGGGGTCATTCATTTGATTGAAGACTGATCTTTGCGTCTTTCTCTGAAATAATTATTTCCTTGTTAAAACATATTTGACTACATATTTCTGTCATTTAACTGTTCACTTTACTTCCGATTTTTGTTGTACCTAAACACATGTTTCTATTTGTGTTTTCTAATCAATTCGAATCTATAATCAGTTTAATGGGATCACCACCGGGTAAACGACTACTAGGTACTTTGGTCATGTTTTTTACACCAAATATTTGAATGTTTCTATTGGGATTAAAATGAGTGTAGTTAACTAAACAACTGGTTGTATAAATCCCTGACCTGTCTAATTCTAATAATGAGATTAATGGATATATTAAGACTTTCACTACAAAATATTCCTAAACAAAAGAGCACATGTTTAAATGTATTCCTATACAAATAAAAAGATCAGAGAAGGGATCTGTCAATTGCCAGACATATTTTTAAAAGATACGTTTATGTTAAAAGTTTGATTAATGAATTATGTAAGATGAAAATATAAGTATTGCTTTTTTATTTTGCTAATGTAAAATGTAATCTTGTGCTGAAATTTTGTCCGAGGGTCCTTACGGGTTTTGTAGTTAAATAGTTTTTTTCGGCGATACATGGTTCAAGAATATAATGTTTTCAAACTATATGTTCATCACCATCAGTGAATTTTTAGTTAAATGTATGCAAAATATTTACTAACAGCTATATGATATAGCGGTTTATGAGCGTTTTCCGCGTACAGCCTCCTAGGGTGTACTAATAAGTTAGTTTTCCTTAGTTATCACGCAAGCATGATCCATGTTTCTGATGTAAGCGACAGTTTACCATTATTTGTCTTTAAAAAAATATTAAGGACTATTAATGGTTTATAACAACAAAAGAAAATTATTGATAAAGTTATTATGTAGAAGGGTTTTCATACCAGAACTATTTATGTTCAACGTATGACTAAACCTGATTACCGCCGCAGTATGACGTCACGGAGTAGTGATTTTGAAAAAATAAACAAACAAAAATCAAGAATTTTTCAGAGAATAATTATCTTTACAAATTGCAGATATGAAGTTAAAGAATGAAAATATTTTCATATTGTAAATGTCTGTGATGACTGATGAGTCAGCTTAAAAAGATCAAGGTACTATTCTTTGACCTGATTACCGCGGCAGTAAGATTTGACGAATGATATTAACATTGGGGAGGCATAGCCTCCCCAAAAACTGTTTAAAGACAAGAATGACGATACAAATCTACTTAAACAGGACTACATATGTATTTAGCTATCCAGCTAGCTTACGGAACGTCGGTGGTTCTACTCAGGTGCCCGTTCGTGCCTGAAATAATGCACGGAAGGGCACCTGAGGTCTTCCTCCACCAGTAAAGCTGGAGCGTCGCGATATGACCTATACTGTGTCGATGTGACGTAAAACCCAAAACAAAACAAAACAAAACATATGTATTTGACAGATCATTTCGTTATTCAGAGTTGAAAAATAAAGAAACAGGAAGTGTTGGGCGAGTTTATTTACTTGTACTGTGTTTTGTGTGTAAAAACGAATGAGAAAATTGCATGTAAATTTCTTGCTTTTATACAATATACTTATATTGTGTCTTTTAGTATCCTTCTTTTTGACTTTTTCTGGGTGGTAAGTTTCAGTTCCAGTATTCCAATCCTAAAAACCTTAACAATTACCCTGAGGATATGTAGCTTGCTTTTCATATTTGTCCGTTGAAATCAAAGGCAGTCGGTACGTGGCTTTGATAGTATACATGCACATGACCACTTTCAGTAGTTATTTGCAATAACTTCTTAAATTTTCCGTCATTGCATGTATACAAATCATTGTCAAATGCGTACTTTGAATATCCGGATCAGGATTTGTATACATGTAATCAGTCGGTTAGTGCAAATAACAACTGAAAGTGCCTACCTACAAACGTTTTCGATTGAATTTGGAGTTAAACGATAGTATTATAGCTGCCTTTTCTGTTTCAACCAACTGTTTGCATGCACTGACATTAGTTTTTTTATTATAAAAAAAATCGATTTATGTTCAAAATCGTTTCCTTTACGGCTCGGTCAAGCGATGTCCGACCTAGACAAACAGTGCACTTCCGCTTAAAAATTCCATCTTTTGTCGAACCAACTTGTCTAATATTGTACATGTTTTGTAAATGAAATCATTTCTGAGTAGATTGCACTTTATTTGGTGAAAATTGGTTGACAATGAACAAAGATTTGCGAGGTAAAATAAGGCCTGGTGGTAGGTCCGCCGGCAAACCTTTCTAACTTTACTTTATTTATAGTATATATGGATGAAATTTTTAAAACACAACTTTCCTTTGTTGTTTTATTGACAATAAGATGTCTTAAAAACATTTCGAGCGAAACAATATTTTATTAGTGAAAAACATATTTTATTGGTAAAAAATAAGTGGGCGTGGTCATGTACATATATAGTATCCAAGCCACGCACCGATGCCTGTGATTGACATATCATTTGTGTGTGATATGCAGACTTCAAAACCTATAACCACTTTCACAATTCTAATTTCAAATGTCGGTGCTAGGAAGAATGGCTGATAACTTGCATTTTGTCAATGAACAGACTCCATTAAACAGTAAAATCAGGTACTTCAACAATTGTAGCAACTTTGACGTTTTCAGGGGTTCGTTTTGTTCTACATGATATAACTGAACTGTTATATAATATAAAGATATATAAATCCCTTTTTTCTCTATTTTACTGTTTTCTTATTAATGTGCGTTTTTTATTTGTGTTTATTACAATCAATCATTTCAAATTCATCATATAAGTCATTTCATCAAACTTAAAAAACATCAATGTTGAATCGCGTATGCATCTTAAAATTATTTGTAAGTCTGTTTCAATTCAAAACCAGTTACTACCTGAAAAAAATGGTTATATTGCACAAGTTACAATCTACAATTTTCAGAATGTTTGATTGCTGAAAAAGATAAACCATGTTATTTTTTACTAAAAGCTCAACTGTAATTAATATAAAAGGAAATCAGTGTAAACATCTCAACCTATATTTAAATAACTCACATAAAAACTTAAATATGTCGCTTTGATTTCTTGCAAGCTGTTTTAAATTATCATATTAGAACACTTGAGAAATGTCCAAAATTGTTAGCCAGCAGGAAACATTATAATAATAATTATTGTAAAATCAACTAAAACTAAAGTAATGAAAGTTTTATATTCATACGTAAAATAACATCATAATATTGTAAATTAATTGTCGATAAAGGTATGTCAAATTACATATGAAATACGAAATGTTAAAGAATTATTGATTTACCCTATAAGATTGTAAAACAAAATCAATGTCCTTATCGTTTGAAGTAGAGATAAAGACAGAGTACTTACACTGCAGCAATCTATTAAAACTATCGTTTTATTCAATAATTGAAAAATGTAAAAACATTACAGTTTCAGACAACATTTTAAGTGACGCAAAACCGGATACAGGAAGTAATGAAACACGAAAGCTGAAAATAGCGTTGATATGTGTCGGAATCCTTTGTGCCATTATTGTTGTGTATGCTACAGTAATAACGATCTTGTTAAAGCGTAAGGCGACGCATAACGGTGAGATGTTTTGTTTTTGATAAATGTATTTATTCATCTAAAAAGCTTCTAATATTTAAGTAACAAAAAACTTAGCAAAACTTTATTTAGATAAACTCATGTTTAAACAAATGAGCAAAGATCCCTTACGGAATAAAACAAAAGACTATTTTCTTAATTCTTTTGAAGACCAATACATGTACATCAATGGACTTTATCAAGTGAATTTAAAGGCGATATAGATATGAACTTTTTGGGGGTTTTCACAATATTCATTTTTTCATTTTATTTATTTCATGTTAAAGTAAAAGATGGGACTAATGTCAGTTGCAGTGGAAGGTAATTCTATTGTTCCTTAAATCATATGATATGTTGATATGTTATTAAACGATATGCATGTTTAGCTTTATTCTGATATCCAGAATGATTTGTCCTTGGTATTAACAGCTTACAAGATCATAGGAAAATGTGGTCTTATATAATGTAAATATTAAAAAATACGAAAGATCTTAAATTTGAATAGTAACATTAAATAGCTAAAATTTTGTCGCCGTTGATGTTGCTCTTCTTTTTTTCCCTTAAACCTAAACTTTGCATTAATAATCATTTTTATCAATATTTTTTCTAATAGTTTGCTTTCATGAGAGTTTAATGGTCCGTGAGAAAAGTGGTAATTCTATTTTTAGGGGCAATGATGATGCCATTACAAACAAAACAAATAAGACAGAAACTGTAACAGCTGAAGCAGCAACAGAAGCAACAACTGAACTAGCGAGAGTTAACATAAATGCCTCTGACGATGAATCTCATCAATATACTGATCTTACTCCTGATACAGAAGATGTCGAAGCAGCATATGAAACTATTCAACTTGAATGACCATAACTATAAAAAGTGTTACATAACGTGTTTTGACAAGGTGTTTACTGCACTCTGAAATCCAATTAATTGTTAAAAGCTTTAAATTTGATATGACAATGATATGTCTTTTAATAGGGCTTTGTCCTTTAAACTATTATATGCGTTGCGTTGAAAATTATGTTTTATGTGAAAATTATTGTTCAATATGTATTTTTTATGCATTTCTTGTTGAAAAAGCTTCACTATAAGCATTTTTTAAAACTCGATCAGTTTTTTTTTCATTAAAAGTAACTGGCAAAAGTTTCGAATTGTACTAACTCAAACTGGATATGTTTCCAATTGGAATTTTTTATTAATAATTTTATGGGAAATAATGAAAACTTATCCAATTTGAATTAAAAAATATAGTTAAGGTATGTTTATGTATCTTCTAGCCTTATAATGATGAAATGCATAGGTTAGACCATAAAAATGACCTTTTTCACAAGATTGTTGCAATAATTTCAGATATTCTTTTTTACGCTGATTAGAATTATGTACTAATAAATTGTTTTCTTCTTGTGGAAGAAGAAGTGACATGTCACGGAATTCAACGAAATCTTGTAGTGCAATCAAAAATATAAGAAACTTCAGACTTAGATTTAGCAGATTACAATTGTGTTGTATAAACAATCAGCTTTGATGTGTACTTTCCATACGACATCAATAAAGGATGTCGCTCTATAATTATTAGGGTTAAACAAACTGCCTTTTTATGAACAGGTATAACTACATATTGACACCATTTTTCTGGGAATGTTCCATAACTAAATATCTTATTAAATAATTTGCAAATATAAGGAAGTAAAGTGTCTATACCACAAATGATATGTGAAGATGTGCGCCACTAGTTGCCTTGTTAGACTTTATTTCTTAACCATTTCGTTTATTTCATCCTTAGATTTTTGGCTATTAAAGAGAAAAGAAAGTTCTCAATGTCATCCTAATATTATATTCATCTGACAAACATTACAAATTGCATCATGTAAATTTTCACCAATACCTCAATCGATATCACCTACAGAAAACAACTGTTTAAAGTGAGTGAATCAGGTACCAATACTTATCTACTATATTATGAATGTCTGTTACAGGTTTCTTAAAAATTATTTATTTTCTACCAACATTCTTTGGAGTTGTAAATGCTTTAATCAATATCAGCTATTAATTGTTTTATATGCATATATTTTTGTCTACATATATTTTAAATGAATGCTTATTGTCATTATCAATGTTTAAATAATGCAAACTTGGACATTATCTGATTTTCGCAGTAAAAACCTAAACACTTCACGGGCAGTTTTACATTCAACACCAAACCATGCCCTCTTTTGTAGTCTATGGTTTTTGTGAAGTTTACCATACAACAGAGATTCACTACAAAAACTGACAACCTTCTCAAATTCATCAATTAGTATATTAACATCATTACAATGTTCATACAGTGAGTCTAACCTGTCAAACAGATCTGGCATCTTAGCATCACCGAGAGAAGATAATTATACCGATTTATCATTTTTACTAAATTATAAAATGTTTTATTGAGTACAAGTCAAGTCAATTTGTTTATTTAAGTCTCACTTTTGTACATACATTAACAAATATAACAAAGAAATACATGTACAAAACCACTCTAAAAGAGTTATGAGAGACTAAGAACATGATGATGAGTACATTTTCAATTTTTCTATCCAAGTAAATATTAGAATGAATTAGCAAATACAAAGGGAAATGAGTACTTTCAATCACATTTTAAACAAAGTTAACTTTAAATTTTAAAGTTAAATCATAGATATTTGGGATGCCAAATAAAAGAATACAGCACTACATCTTTTCTGGTTAGCAAAATATAAAGTTTCCATAAAATCCATAAGTAACGCTTTTGATGGAATGGCACTACTGTCACACTGAATGTTCCATGGCCGTCGTATGAACACATCTGCGGATGTTTCGCAAATAAAAATTTCACAATTTTCGTGTTCAAATGTTCTGCTAAAACCGGTGTTAGGGGGCGTGGACAGTACATTTTATTTATTTACATGAAAAAAAAACAACAAATTATACTTTGGCATTTACCGCACATTTGATGCAAGTAACGTACCAAAAATAATTTTGAACGCGAAACAAACAGGAATTAATTATTAATTAGTGATATTGTAATGTTAAATGTATTCTCGGGCACATTAATAGCAAAACTATTAAAATGATCTTATGAATTCAAATCACACTGAAATGACATTTTTTTAAATCTCGGCATGAATTCCTGTAATAATTCTATGTATTTTGGGTTTGAAGCGGAAATATATCTATATATATTGAACGAAATTTAGAAGCCGACAGGATCACCAAAAAGTTTTTAAAACAAGGAAGTTGCAATAACAGATATTGTGGATATTGTATGATCAAAACAAGTAAAAGTCATACAGTTTAGATGTTCTTTATCGTTTCCAAAGTTCACTGTGACAAATAATGTTAAATCCAAACGCTCTTACCTGACCCGCATGAAAACCATTATTTAATACTTTATAATGAAAAATAGCTTTGTTCCTGTGACTGCCTACTGTTTTTATTTTGAGGACATTTATAGAATAATGCATGAAAAAAAATCAAAATGACGAAATGAAAATTTTGCCTGTGTCTCCCTTTAAGCAATATATATTTATTTGTCAATCGGCAGTTTAGCATGAAGCAGTATGTCAGTCAAACAGATAACAGTTTGTCATTCATATAAATATCAGTTGCATACGTGGCATTTTTTAAGTTTCAAATTCCGCAGTATGTTCGTCACACAGGTAGCAGTATGTCTGCACATAGGTAGCAGCATGTTTATTACATAGTAGCAAGTAATTGCCCAAAGAATTTTGCCTAATACAAGGTGACCATTAATTTTTTTGAATAATGCAATATTTAATCTGAAATGCTCTTGATTCTTTGATTGTTTTGTTTTTGTTTGGGTTTTTTTTTTTTTTTTTTTTATTTTTTATTATAACACCTAACTCATCTTACACAAATACTGTTTTAAAAGCAGTCATGCTGTTGTCAGTTGAGCTCCCCCTTATATCAGAGTTGGCAGTAAACGTTCGTGAACATCTACGTATCTTAACTGCAGAAATATGATGATGTTGGTCTTGTAAGATTATTGAGGTTCAAATAGAAGTGTCATGATAAGTCATTTGTTAAGAAGGTTTGGTGAAAATAAGGTGAATAAATGGATTGAAGACGTAATCAACCAGGCATTAATAATCATACCAAGTTACACCTGAAACGGCACAACACATATGCATAACAAATACTCACATTTTAATATTGGATCGGAGTGTTTCTAATTAAGTTACAAACATTAAAATTACCAGTAGCCAAGTGACTTATGAAAACGAATAAAGGGAAGTTACTGTATATTCACTTATGCTACAATGAACATTTATGTATCAGCTGCATTTTTTTAAAAGATTTACAAACAACATTAAATAAGCAATCATTTTGAAACGTTTTTGTAATTATTCACCTAGTAAAAGAATTAAAAAAAACATTGTAGAAATGTACTTTCCAATATTTCTACTTGAATAATGTTGAATCACGCTTAGGTTATGTTATATGCTTTAATAACTTTATCTTTAAACGTCATATTTGTGGCATGAAGGCTTTTTAACCTTTGATCCATTCTGTTTAGTTCTGCCCTTATTATCCCGCCACTTTTCATGGAATGACATAAAAGTCCAACATTGAAGATTCCATGACTACCGCCGGATCTGCGGATGTATCTGAATTCATGAATTCAAAAGGTCACTATTTTCATGTTAAAAATGTAGAATTCTGCTTAAGCCAAAGCTAGGGGGTTCGGACGTACACTGGAATGTAAAATTTCCTCCATCAATAGGCTCAATCAAACCGAGCGTTCAACATTTTAGTTTTGTCGTTTTGGGCGCTTTTTAGAGACTCCGTTTTCTCTAATTTAACGGGGAGATACCTTTTAAAATAATGCAAAACACCCTTGTATAAATATTTCATTATAAAAGTTCTATTTGAATTTTAAGTGATAATACAACTTTTGATACTTAAAGTTACATTAAATAAATATGTAAAAATATTTTGCCGTCGGCCTAAAAATCAAACATTCTACATTTTCATTAACCTGTTTAACAGTATTGTTGTAAATCTCATCGAATATTGTTCATAAATAAGGATTTTAATGGGAAAACCATACGGTAACACTTAAGTTCGTATACAAATTTTAACATGCAAATGAAGACTATAATCAGCTTGTGTATGCCCTACGTCACAGTGTTATAGTTGCTATCCGAAACACAACAAATATGAGATTTTTCTTGTGCAAACACATTTTAACCATTTAACTACACGGTTCAAAAGACCTGAGGTTCACTAAAAAGTAATCATCTCATAAAACAGATTAAATTTGTATGAAAACATCCGTTACAATGCGGAAATATACCGTTTAATTAGGACTGCTACATATAGTCATGTTTGTTGATTTAATATTGATGTACGGATGATCTCAAGGCGGAGTTTCTCATGCAAACAGATATTGTACTTCCGATTTCGCCACAATGAGGTTGTCCATTTTTTATGCTTATGAAACTCATTTTGTTTGTCTTGACACCAAAAATAAGATCTGGAGTCGATATGAAACCCAATTTATTAATGAAATGTCGCTTTTTCTGTTTTTATGAAATTTATTTAATGTAACTTTAATTGTATGTCTTGCAACATTTTCAATTTTAGCGCTTTGTTATAAGCTAGTTTAAGAAAAAAAAATTAACACAAATCTAACATAAACTGAATAATATCTGATGAGCATGGGCGCTTGTTACATGAAGCAAAGAACAATTCATTTCAATAAGACTTTTCTATGATCAAATTTGTTCTTAAAATATTTCATTTAAAACAATTTAAGGATGAACTCGTTCAGCTTCGTTTGAAAGGTTATGTCTGGTATCATGTACCCTTATAAGAAAACAGCTGGTTTTGCAAATGACAACCAAATAACTACATTTCCCTTTCAAAGCATGAACTTACTATGTGCCTCTTTACGGTTTTAATTTTGAAAATAATGCATTTCATTTTATTGGCATTTTATGCAATTTAACAAAGACATAAAAAGGGAAGAAAAATCAACAATGCAAGACGACGTTTACAGAACTCAGCACAAGACATATTTTACCATACTAAAGCTACAGTCTCACTTACATCCCGGCAGAGCCCCGGTAGGGTACGACCGGGAACAACCGGGGTACATCCGTAACTCTGCCGGCAACGTCCTGGATGATCCGGGATGATCCGGGAACATCCGGCATTCGACCCCGGATGGAATAAAATATTTAATATCACCGGGGTGGTCCGGGATGATCCGGGAAGGTATAGCTTTGTCGGCTTCATCCTTAGCTCTGCCGGGAACGACAGGGGTTATACCGAGGAAGCACCTTAGCTCTGCCGGCACAAACCGGGGATGATCCGGTGTATGATATAGCCGGTAGAGCTACGGTAGAGCTACGGTAGAGCCCCGGTATATACCGGCAGAGCCCCGGAGGATAAAGGTAGAGCTACGGTTGATCCCGGTAGAGCCCCGGCAAAGCCAGGATCATTTCAAAAGAATAACGACAATTTGCGATGATTGCACTTGTTTATATTAAAAGCCTTCCCATTTCCCTTCTATCCAGTAACGGATAAGGATTTTTCAGAAAATCATCATGAATTACTATTCTGGAACAATAGATATTATATTAAATAAAAACTGTGTATCAATGTTAACATTTTCGGGCGTTTTCAATCCACCGGGGTTCTACCGGGGCGCTGTCTGGATCGTCCTGGGCTCTGCCGGGGCTCTGCCTGCATCGACCGGGGCTTTGCCTGGGTCAACCGGGGCTCTCCCGGCGTCATCCGGGAACGACCGGGGAAGCACCGGCATAAACCGTAGTTTCACCTAGGCTCTGCCTGGATGATCCGGAGCGCATCCTGGGTGGTCAGTAGGGAACTACCGTAGTACTGCCGGGGTAAGTGTGACCGCAACAATAATTTCATCCCGGATCGTCCCGGATCATCCCGGTAACTTACCGGTATGGTCCTGGGCTCTGCCGGGAGTAAGTGAGACCGCAGCTTAAAGGAGAGAGTTCAGAAAAAGCTTTTCAAAGCTTCCTACTCGATCCATAAAATTATTTGTATAAACTTTATGATAACAAATTAAATATTGTTTAAACAAAATTTTCAATTGTCATGGTGCAGAATACAATCTGAAAACCAGAATCTTTAATAAGACATTTTGACAGCATCGTCAGT